ACCAGTAGCTACGCTCGAATCAAGGTGTTACAAATAATGTCAATTAACAAGAAAGTTCTAATTTGTGCTTTGCTTTATAGAAATTTTAAATATTGATATTGTACAAAATCTTTGTTTAATAAATAAAATCATACAAATTTTTTTTTATTAATTTATTTACTAACATGCTTGTGGCCGCCCGCGACTTCGTCCGCGTTTAATTTAGTTTTTTGGTTATTCCTCGGGAACCTGACATGCATACTTTCTCCCATAGCTTTTTCTTTAGATTTATGTCTGAATACTCTTTCAGACCCTTTAAGTAAAGTGCAGGTCTTTTTTCTACACTAATATACTACTCTGTATCCTCCGTAATAGTTCCCGCAAAGCCCGCCATGGTGACTGAAGCCGCTCCAAATGCTTATGCTAGACTGACAGTCGCGGATCGACTGTTTGTCGATGGTATGTGCACATCAATACAATACAATACAAAATGAGCATTTGATCGATAGTTGCCCAACTTTTTAATCAAAAGCAGATCGATACAGCTTTTTGACTTTTTTGTTGTACAACTATCGAGTTGACAGTATGTGCGCTTCAATATATTGCTATATACATACGATACACAACAAAATTGTTGTTCAACTCAAAGTTTTATATATGCGCTAGCCCTTAAGGAGTAAACTCCAAAACTTGGTGCCGGTGACTACATCTGAATTGGTTGATTTTCCAAAAAAAATGTATTCCCTATTTCACTACCATAAAGTATTATTTTGCGACATAATTAATTAGGTAACATTGCCATTTATAATATTACTATGCATTACACCGAATACCTTTTATATTTTATCAACCACAAAGTGATAATTAAAATTAATACATAATTATTTCATAATCCAATAGAAGTATTAATGTAAAATATTTTATTGCAACTATGGTGAAACAATAAAATCATTCAGCAATCGTAACCAAAGTACTTTCAAGATAGGTAGATATCAAATCATTCAACTCTAATTATCCAAAGAACAAGGAAATCAGATCAGACGATGGTATAAAACGGTGCTACATGAAAAATCAATTCAATCGGTAGACTTAACCCAAGATTTACTCCTTAGAAATTCGTAATTGATATTCAATATATATCACTTTAAAGTACTCTTGATACTTAAGTACTTTACTACTCAACATTTTAATATAGGTACCTACGTTATCATTGTAACTTACAAGTAAACGTAGAAACTACCTATCCTGGTTTGTAAAATTATAGCTTTCCATAAGAAAATACCGTCCTCCGTAGCCAACCTGATTCCAGTCGCGACAGAAAAAGCACTGAGTAAATATTATATGATATTCTCATAAAACTATTACCCACGTACATCAAAACCAATAATACTCGTGTAAGAATAACAAGTGTAAGACCACATATCGAAGGAGATGATGTTATGAATAGAATTAACAATTGGGTTAAGAGCTGATTATACTTGCGCCTGCTGATTGCGCCAGCCGAAGGCGCCAGCACACGTATCACCAATGACGTACAATATATATGGAAAATTTATACGGTAGTCCCTGTGTAACGTACCTCAAGGACAATCCTTCCTTTTGTCAATCATAAATTCCATTTCACACATTTTGTCATCTACCATCATAGTTATTCATCATATTTATACACATCTTTCATTTTCATTACATACAAGGATTTTTATGTAATGAAATGTTTTTTGTGGATTTTCTTTAGTCAAATTAAATTTATTGAAACCAGGTAATAACATCAATATTTCAGAACAATTTTAATTTTTATGAACGTTTATTACTAGTGCCCCTTTGAAAAATTGCAAAAATTCTTTGTACGTAACCGAGGTTTCGTACGAAGAGAATAATTCCTTCGTCGTAACTAGTTACGAACAAGGAAAAACAATTCCTTCATCGAAACCAGTTACGAAACTACGGTTTCATAGGCGGCCGAAGGAAATCTGACGAGTAACGAACAACAACAATTGTCCTGTGTTAGTGTTCATTTGTTTTTTTTTTTTATCATAAACAGCTACATATTTCGAAATCCAGTTTGAAATTTAAATAAATCCTTGGCTGCCGTGATTAGAAGTAAAAGATCGTTCCATTTTTAAATTAGTCGTATTAATTTGGCCACTAAACACGACAGATATGGTTTTTCATACAAATTTTGCCGGCCGCTGCTTGCATTTATGTGACCAGTACAGCAATTTCGATTTATCTCGAAGAAGGTTGTCAAAATAATGCTCACATTTCAAGCATGTTTGAGAAAACGTAATTACTAAGCTGGTATCTAAGCAAAGTAAGACCGAGTTAGGTACGCAAAGTATTTCTTGCTCCGCTAGGAATCTTAACTGGGTGGTAATCAGGAGATGTGCCATTATCCTGATGCAGGTTAAGGATTCGTTGCACTCATACAGGCACCAATTTGGCTAGGAATGCGGTGGATTATGCGCAAGCTGCATGATAATTGGTCAACCTAATGACCAGTTACATAAATGGGTTGGTACTCAAAATATGTTGGTTGTTGTGTTCACATTTTTCGCAATAATCAAGAACGACTTCCACCTACTTCAGAGAATTTCCATTGACAATCTTCTTAGCGTATAATACAAAAACATCTAAGACACAATGGAAATCATAATGTTACATAATGTCAAAATGTTTTTTCAGGCAGTGAGTAGATCCAATCAATGATAAACGTAGCGGTAGAGAAAAACTCTTGCCCATTATTAATAAACGTGGAATAAGCTTTGACTAATTACACCGTGTTTTATTCCAATCACTCAAATGCCATTTGTCATTCAATGAACAGAGACAAAACATGAAGTAACAAATCCAATCTTATTCTTCATTTATTAATGAGGGGGTTGGTGTACTTAAATCATCTCATGCTATAACATGTATCTTACGTGAGACTAAGTTATTGTTTCCATCTGTAATACTCTTAATGCCATTTATTGTCTCAAAGCAGTGGCAGGGATAAAATAATACTACGTGTAAAAGAGCTTTTTATAAGCCTATTTGCAGAAAATAAATGACTTTTATTGTTTTTCATAACTCATTTCTCTACACAAGATCTATTGCTTCTACACCAAACGTTACCTTGACGTCTTCCTTCTTTAGACCTTGAAAATTATTTTGATGCTATATTTTCAATGTAAACTATTATTATCTTGTCTTACAGCATGAAATTACAGACAACATAATATATAATTATTCACGAGTGTCATTTTAAAAGAAAATGAAAATCCAAAGTTATCGAAATAAGCTTCAAAATAGTTAACTCGACTGTTGCAGACATATTTTGAATACAGTACTACAAAATCCGGAAAGTTTGTTGCTACAGATTTAATTATTCTATGTTTAATGTATGGAAGACTTAAACGTTACTTTTATGCCCACAACTAATTAAGGAAACCCATGAAATGCAACCTTCTCACGTACCGAAAATTTTAGACACAAGTGTTTGAATTAAATGTTATATTACAACCAACCGACTAACTAACTAGTCGGATAAAGAGTGCAAACAAACTAAAAATAAAGATATGTCTGACACAACAATTATAAGGTTGAATGAAAAAAAATATAGGAAATGGAATTCAGCATGGTGATTGAATATCTAAACAAAAAACTATTTGATAAAAAATAAAGAACTTTTGCATTAGCATAGTACTCCTTAAAGTTTACTATCCTGGGCCTCTCTCAAATCTTCTATATATATAAAACTCAAAGGTGACTGACTGACATAGTGATCTATCAACGCACAGCCCAAACCACTGGACAGATCGGGCTGAAATTTGGCATGCAGGTAGATGTTATGACGTAGGCATCCGCTAAGAAAGGATTTTGATCAATTCTACCCCCAAAGGGATAAAATAGGGAATGAAAGTTTGTATGAAACTTTGTCAATTTTAAACCGATCGGGCTGAGACTTTGCATGCAGGTATGCAGGTATAAGAAGAATCATAGATGAATGTCATTGTGTATAATACAAGCCTGAGAACAAACTCTGTAGTCTACACTTCAGCTCTACACCGAAGCGAAGCGAGGGCGGGCCCGCTAGTGTATGATAAAAACAGTTTTTGTCGCAACTTTGTAGCCAGATCAAAGGCTTCATAATTTCCGGGTTGTTCATTAAAATTAGATAGAAGGTTCTCTTAAATGTGAAAAGTAAACCTGTTAGTCTTTTATAAGCCTGTGATCCAGAACAGGTTGATATGTAGACAGCTATTATATACATGACTGGCGTCTTCGAGCCACTTGGATTTCCGGCAGTCTCATATTATAAACACTGCTTTGACTTCTCATTGATGACTCACTTTAACGTTTAACTTGGTACGACATTAAATATTACTATGATGGTACATGTGTCAATCATGCAGATGTAATGAACTTAATGATAGTCACCAACGGTTCACATCCCCTGGCTCTCTTGCGGTTGATCCGGTCTTCTTTTAAAACATAATGCATGTACAAACAGGGTAATGAACTCGTTTTGTGGTTCCTTCATCATCAGTTAGAATCATCGTAAAGTATAACTTTTTTAATTATAAATAGAAATCTAGGGTTTTCACTTGCATTAATCTAGAATTGCACTTTAAAATTTATCATTGATAATTAGTTGTTACTACAATATACAACTAAAACCAAGCGACAAAGAAAACACAAATCCAGTTTTTAGCTCAGATGACGAGGATGACTTATTTTTATTTTCAAGTGTGATTTTATAATAAATGTAAATAAGAATGAGCATCTATTGTTTGAAAATATTATAGATGACCTAAAATACTTTCATTTATACGCGCATGCATTATTTACCCTGCTTTAATGAAATAATTTTCTAATGCAATATCGTTTTGATTACACGATCCATTCTGTGAATGTTAATTGTTGATTTGATAACGAAATTTCTGAACTGTTTAGTTAATAAAATGTGCGGCAGTGCTATCTGTGCAAGATGTTTGGCGTTAATCCATATTTCTAAATTATGCTAAATGTTGGTGTTGCAGGCCGTCCGGCGCATGCGGTGTGGCACGATGGTGGCGTGAGCGGTCACCATGCGCCTCTTCCGCGGGCCGAAGCGCAGGGAAGTGACCGCGCCGCGGGCCGCCGCGACGCCGTCTCCGCGCCGAGACGCCGCCGCACCCGCCCCCTCCGCCGCAGCCACTCATACGCACGACTTCACGCTCGTCACCGCCTTACCAGCCATGGTCATGGAAGACGATGTCAAGGAGATGAAGAAAGGTATCAAGACTTATCTATTGAATGTGTTGTTCATCTGGTTTATTCTAACCAAAAGCATTTTTTGTTATTATCTTTTAAATAATACTTGATTTTAGGCAATATGATAATATGTAAATTAATGTTTCCTTATTTCAGTATTCGCAACGTGGGGTCGAAGAATGGGGAAAAAATTAGATATGCTGAAAAAAGTTGACGCAAAAGAAGCTAGTGACGAATCTCCGCCCAGTGAAAACTTCCGAGATGATTCCTCAACTCATTCCACGATATCTGGTCAATATAAAAAGAAACAACATTGGAAAATGGGTCGAAGCAGTTCTGATTCAACTTCACTAAAGAAGGATAGTGACACGGATTCCATTCGAAGCACTTCAAGGGACAGATCTCCTAGTCCTTTCAAATCTTTTTTCCATAGAATGGGATCCACTGGAATGTTAAATTCTTCGAAATCTCAATCTCTAAATGTGCATAAAAATAATGAAAATTATCCTGTTGCTAATGGACCGTCCCTGTATCGTAGTTGTTCTACTTCACATCTCTCAACTTATGTAAAAGCTGATGATCCTTCCGATGACATTGATCTACAAAATGCAGATAATGAGAATAAAAATTCTCCAACTAAACAAACCGATGTGCTAATAGAAGACAAGTTAACAACAGTTTCAACAAAGGCTATTAGTTGTGACAATATTCCTAATTTGGACGGACAAACTAATAACAGTACATGCAAAAAACCCAACTTTCCATATGCATTTTTAAGGTCAAAGTTATCAGTTTTACCAGAAGAGAATAGTATATCCTCACAACAAAGAGCCAACTGTGTTAGACAAAGTTTTTCGGAAAGATTGGATCGTAAATCTCCCAAATTCAGAAGAGAAAGATTATATTTAAGTAATGCAAGATCTGAAGAACGATACCAAAGTAGTGACAGTATCTCCATCCATGAAGACAACATGTTACTAAATAGTGCATTAAGAAATGACTATGATTTCTCCAGAAGTTCTATGAGAAGCATCAATGAGATAGATAGTAATATGTACCCAATACGACGAATAGATGATACACCAAGGCGATCTTCAATGATATCGCATCGGCCTCCTCTGGATTATGATCCTATGCTCATTCCAAGAAACAGAAATAGTTTACCGGTCTATGAGTATAACTCTATTTTGGGATCCATGAGAGATTTAAAAGCTGAACTAGCATCTTCATCACAAAGCATTCATCATGGCCCAGAGACTGGTGAAGTTCTACAAGCACATCGCTTAAGTAACTATGTTAGTTCCAATGAATCTGGATACGATAGTGATGGTCGTCCAACTGATGAACATAGCAATCATTCTCCACCAGGTTATTCTTGTCACTTGTCTTCTAGCTCCATTCGAAGGGACAATGAAATTAACTCTGAGGTTAATCATAGTCCTTTCTCAAGACAGTTAAGCTTTAACCATAAAATCAATATAAGTAGAGTTCAGATTCCTATGAGAAGAAGTTCTACTCCATGTGCATTATTTCCTATTGAAAAAGGAACTGCATACGAATATGAAAATATAAACCGGGAAAATAATGATAATTATAGCGTTACCAAAATAAATCCTCATAGTACTTTAGAACACAGTGATGGCAAACCACCGCCACTGCCGAAAAAGACTGTAAACAAAAAAGCGCCATATATTTACAAAACTATTACACTGGATGACCGTGTTCAAACAAGGAAAAATAAATTATATAATCAAATAGAAAACACAATGAATTCTATTAATTGTAAAGGTTCCATAAAAGAGATGAAATCAGAAAATTCAGTATCAGAAATAGATATTTTTGGTCGAGGACCATGCACAAAACGATTTCGAAAAATAAGATTGTTGAAATCAAGATTAGACGAAAGTTTAGGAGTATATTTGGCGCAACATAGGGTAGACTTTGACAGTACTGGATCAAATTACGAAATAAGGTACATCGTCGTGAAACTAGACTTTGATGGAATAGCGCACAGGGATGGCAGACTAAGGATTGGTGATGAAATAGTTAATGTAAATGGCAGAGTTTTACGTGGCTTATCATCTTTGAAAGAAGTTCAGCACATCGTAAACTCGTGTTCAACTGAAGCTACAACGGAAGATGGGTCATTATTTCAAAGATATCAAGTAGATCTTGTAATGGCTCATGATGAAATAACACCAATAAGCTTAAACCGTATTATGAACAGTCAATCTAATGAAACAAGCCCCGTAAAATCATCACCATCGAATGTACCACCAGATATTATTTCACAAACAGTGCACAAACCATCATCTTCTCATCAAATAACTATTGAAACCCATTTTCCAAGTGACAACCAATATTACAATGCAAAACAAACCAGAGGCCAAGGAATACCAGACCCCAATATGAACAGAAATGAATCACAAAATAAATGCGAAGTTGGTGTACAAGTAAATAATGGATTGATTCATCCCAGTCACAAAAGCGACGACGAAAAATTATTAGAAAAGAACACCTACGCCCAGACGACATCATCTTTGCAAAACGTAACGAATATTGAAATCTCGATGCGATCTTCACCGACGCCTAGAAATCAGCACAACAGCTATAGGCCTATATCACTCCACAACTCTAGAGGGTTACCAATAGTAGGATATCCAGGTTGTAATGATAATACTACCAACGAAATTAAAGAAAATTCTCCTCACTACATAAAACATGTTCCAAGGTTGTATCAAAACAGGTCTTTTGAAAGTATTCCAGAACAACTGAGGAACAGTAGTCGAAGTAGATTTTTCAGTAGAGTTGGCTCACAAAGATGTTCGCCGAATCACAATTCTCACATGTCAAGACGTCAAGAATACACGGCATCTCTTCATGAAGGCCAACACGGAGGTCACTATTCCCACAATTCCATACAAAGAGTGGAATTTTGGAAAGGTCCAGGTCATAAGAGTCTTGGTTTCAGTATAGTAGGAGGGACGGATTCACCAAAAGGGCAAATGGGAATATTTGTAAAAACTGTTTTCCCTAACGGCCAAGCTGCTGACACGGGTAGTATATTCGAAGGTAAGTCTAATCTCAATCTGTGAAGAAAAATTTAAAGTTCAAATACGTCATCGTTTTTAACATGCATTTTATGTTTTAGGTGATGAGATTTTGTCTGTAAATAACGTTCCAACGCGCGGGCTGAGCCATGCAGGCGCTATTTCTCTTTTCAAGCAAGTTAAAGAAGGGAAGATTGAATTGACGCTTTCTAGAAGAAGGTAATTAGTTAAATTACATTTTTTTTCTTTTTATTCTGGCACAATTCAGTTATAACATAAATTAACCTAATCTAATTACAGTATAATGGGAAATGTGTTCCCACTATTACTTTTTATGTATTAACAAATGATGATCGTTGTCAGGACTGTATTTGAGAAATTGTTAATCATCAAGATCGAATCAATTGAAATAAAGAAAGGTTGATACTTTTAAATTTAAGATAAAAATAACAATACAAAATTATCCTTAAAAAAATATAAGTAATTATTTACAATACAAGTTTATCAAATATTTTACATTTTAAAACTGCTTAGAGTACAGTTAAATATGTCAGCTTCAAAGAATGCACGATTGTTTTACTAATTTCAAGTAAGTAAATAAGAAAGGCACATGACCATATTATTATTTTTATTTCAGAGCACCTAGGTCCAGATCGGTGGAACCTCTTGGGAATTTTCGTGGCGATGGCAAAAAGGAATAATACTTCCGAGCCCTGTACTCCAAAGAGTATTATTATTATTCAGTGCAATAAAACATTCTTACTTTTTTAGGTATTTAGCCAAAGGCGAAATCTCGTAGACATAAAACATTTCTTATTTTATTTTTAATTGACGAATCGTTGGTACAACGATCTTTTGTAAATTATATTAAATTACTTCTATGAAATGTTCGTTGTGCACAATATTCTAGTTTATGGATTATTGGGTATTATTATTATTGTGCTAATGCATTATGTTGCATGGTTAATGTTATGTAGTTACAGTATGATGCTAAGTAATTATAGTCAATCATGTTATGCTAAATGTTTGTTAGCTTTGTATATTGTGAATACCATAAGACTGTATCGTTTACTATAAATACTTAACTATATTGAAACTGTTACTTAATGATATTGTTATAATTTCATTTAATACTAGATCTCGTTAATCTATGTACATAATCAGTATGACTTAAACATTATATGCAATGTCAATAGTGATCAAAATCCACTTTATTTAATCGACATATTGACAGATAGTTCATTAATAAATAGACTGATATAAAATAGGTACTGAACGTGGTACCGTACATTTTGTACATAATTATTAACTGACTACAAATACCTGCCTCTGCCAAAGCTTTAGGTATATGGAAAACTTTAATAAATTTGTCTGAAATGTAATGTGAAAGCAGACAAATGCCATAATGTTAAACAATCTAATGCTACCACATATCAAAATTAGAAGTGATAGGATTCAAAAGGTGAAATTAATGACTTAATCGGATGTTAATATCAATAGCACAAAAATATTATGTTGATCAAAGTGCCAGAAAAATTTATACGATTGTTATGCCCATTTCCGATTAAGATGTTAAAATGTTGACCTTATTGCCGTACAGAATTCTCACCAATTTCTTATGCTAGCATTTCCCATGACTATTCGTATATGCCGTAGCTAACGGTCAGTTTTAATATTCAATTTCTAGTAAAAGTTAGGCTTATTCTGGTTCCGTCACTTAGCAACAGTTGTCATTTTAATCTAAATAATAAAATATTTCGGCAGCAAAGCTCTAATAGGCCTATCTCCTATTGAAGATTGGTTATAGAAACTGTCCGTAAATTGACAGCGGTGGGCACTAGTCCCACTGCCGACGTTGAACGGGAAGCTAGTAGAGACAGAAACTAGCTGACGATCAGAGAGAAGCGAGTCTGTACCTCCGATAATCATAATAATCATAATCAAAATCACTTATTCAGTTTAGGCTGTTACAAGCACATATGAATGTCTAGAAGCTACGACATCGGTTCGTAAATCTACGGCGGGAGACCTTGTATTGAGAAGAACCGGCAAGAAACTCAGCAAGGGCTGTCTTTTTTCTCCCTGTTTTATTTGGTCGATGGTTTGTTCCTGCTTGTTTTAAGCAAGTGCCCGAGTACTACGGACCATTACTCGCGCCACTCGCTTGCGGTGACAGATTTAAGCAAAATGCACGCACGCGTTCCTCCAAGCCAGTAACGCGAATATTATCTTTGACAGGTCTTGTCGTTTAGCCACGTATTAGTGGAGTGACTTTTCGCGCGCGATGTGAACGGTCAGCGATCAACTATGAATATATGCATCAATTTTCTTTACACGGAATGTATATATATATATATATATATATATATATATATATATATATATAATACATTTCTTCAGCGTTAAAATAGTCGATAGTTAGTCGTTTCCTCGCCGGCGGTGGGGCAACTGCCGTAATCCTTATCATCTATCTCTATAGGGAATGAAAAGGAGTCTGTTGTCAAATTTTGCTAAAGCAAAAAGGAATACTCATGTAAAGTGCCAGGCTTATAAATAAATGAAGCTTCCATTATGTGATTACATTTAAACATACAGCGAATCAGGTCCGTCCATATAAAATTGTTGCAATGATAATGTTATTATTTCTATTGGTCATTATTTATTTCAATGTTCCACTTTTTTCAATAACAATATCTACATTTACTCATCGGCATCGGCTATAGCCATTTTCAATGTAAAGGCAATCATGCGAATTATATTCAATCACATGTGCAGTATTGTGAATTACATTTGATATGTTTTGTAAATAAATTATTAAACATAATTTCATTTTACTGTATCTTTCAATCATCATCCTTGAACGAAGAAACAACTATAGACTTTAATAAGTATGATTTATTCGATGCGAAATAAAACCGACTATAAACTATAAAATAAATATAAGTTACTACGACTAACAATAACAATAACGAATAAGCAAGCATTTAGTGGCAAAGATCAGCACCTATTACTCTATCACAGTATGATCAGTTAATAAAAAGTACATCTTGAAGTTTACAAATTCAATAACAGTGTGAAAACTGTGTCATATCGATTTTACTTGATGTCGCATAAAATGGCTACACCCCTTAGAATCCAATGGTCAGGATTTTTAATAGTGGGCAGCCACAGTGGAGTGATGAAAGTCAACCCAGTACGAACCGGCTTCTTATATACCGGACACTAGAAAAGATGTTTAAAGTAGAAGTAAGTAGTTGTACGAAAAATATATTAAATTATAAGTATATAGGTAAGTATATGATTTTACAACTAAACCGTTTAAAAACTTCCAAATTTAATATTTAAACCGTTTAAAACCACATAAGACAAAAACTGGAGCCTAACTAAATAACTTTTTTTATTTTTCATCATCCCATTCATGCACTCTTACAATTATGAATAGTCCTAGTTTATATATCTTTTTATTTTAAGCATTCTACTGCTACATTTATAAATCTAAATATTTATTATTATTTTGGTGTGAGTGTTACATATTAACATTTATTTATTCATAAAATTAAATAATTTAACTAGAAAAATTCCACCCGGAGCAGGCCCGTCGATCTCGTCCTATGCCTAGACCGAGTGGAATTTATCTAGTACAATTATATTTAATTTTATGGATAAATAAATAAATATAAATATGTCCAAAACTCACACCAATTAGCCTAGCCCCAAAGTAAGCACTGTAAGGCTTGTGTTATGGAATACTAAGGCAAAGGATAGAATATATTATTATAGAGTGATAGATATACATATATAAGATAAAGCATATTATATATAAATATGCATATTTAACATCCATGACTGGAGATTTGCACTCCATTCATCAGCTCGTATTCATCACACAAACATCTGCCCCCACCGGGATTAGAACCCAGGACCTCTCGAGTAGGCGACACCAAGGTGTGTGGTGTGGTGTGAACGCCGGTTTCAAGAAACCGGCGTTCATACCACTCGGCCACGGAGGTCGTCGTATTGAATAGTCTGTTTTCCTGCCCCGTAGACCTGACTCACTGTAGTAGGAACCCGAAATTTCAGAATAGTGTTATTTGGTAGATCCGAAAATAAAAACTATCTGCAACTACTTTGATGACATATTTATAAAATCAGAACCTTTAATTTTAATACCTTGTATTGATCTAACCTGATAAAGTTTAGGATCCTTTGGTGCCGTCGAGTTGATAGCATAAACATGAACGACTGGCAACGCTGTATACAGCATTTTGAGAGTCGATTCACAGAGCCGCAGATTACGCCGGTCCCAGCCGGCACCATCCAAAAATAATCCGTGAATGAAGACCCCTTCCTACAACGGGTTTGACGTAAATTATCAAGTTATCGTTGCTATTTTAGCAGCCGTATCTACTATAAAGTTTAAATTACTGATAACCGGTTAAAACAAGGGCAACTGTGCCTCCTTCTGCTGCTCCAAAAGTCCTGGGTTTGAATCCAGCTTTAAGGGCGTGAGTACCGTTAAGCGGGGAACGGATCTCCGCGACTTAACGGTGCGCACGTTACTAAGGGTCATTTGTTAGTATGGTTTTGCGTGTGTTGTGTTGGTAGGTGTTTAAAAAGGAATTGTGAAAAATTAATTTTATTTATTAACTTTATGTTTTAACTTTAGAGTGGTCTCTCTAAAATCGTAAATCAATATTCGTTTATCGTTCATCATCTAAAGATAGTTCCAAAAGATTTATGAAAAATATAATATGTTATTATTATAAATTTACCGCAGGAGGAGCTTTGATTTCCTCGTAAATGTTTTTAGTGACGTCATTATGTAGAGACACCATATCTAACGCCCAGCCTTTGTGTGCACGTGTTACCTCCTGCCGCATTGCCGTCAAGAAACCTAAAGTGATCTCACGACATTACCCGCCTTATTCCAAAACGCTGACTAAAGTTAGTTTTGGTTGAACTAACTAACGCTGTCTGTGTGTTCTTCTAGGAAACTAAAATGGCTTCGTATTTAGGCTGGGTTTAACTTAAGTTAGCGTTTTGTAATAAGGTGGTATATGTTCAACAAATAAACAATTTATATAAATATCAATTAAAATTAATTTTTACGTAAGCATTTTATGAAAATAGGCGAATATGCTAATAAGACTCCAGAACTGTAAGGGTACAAGGTTAATAAAATTTATAGTTTTACATCCATTAGTATTGCAAAAATGCTTGTACTTGCTAATGCCCATAGCAATATTTTAAAGACCGTTATAGCAATATTTCAAACGGTCTATTGAAATTCCCTTTTTTTAACTTTATCTTTATTTTGTAATTAAAGCGGCAATAGAAAAACATTATTTGTGAACATTAATATTCTATCTATTATGGTTCACAAGATACAGCCTGCAACTTTACTAGGATAAGGTTTAGTTTCTATTTTCAACCACTACATTGAATTAAAAGATTTTCTTCCCAAACAAAATTTTCGCTTACCTTGCGGATTAAAGAAACCTGTCATCCAAAAAGAAAACGGTCTCGCCTGGAAGCACCACGTGGAAAACTGAATATTCCTCTCCAAAAACTCCGTGAACCAGAATCCGAGGGTAGACGAAGACCAAGAACTCCTCAACCAGATATTCGGTACTTTTGCATCGTAAATATTATCAAGCGAATCCCGCAATGCCTATTTGTAAAAAAACATAAACCCATAATTTTGTGGTTTGATCTTCTAATGCTTTTCCCACACCTGCGCGATGAATCTTTGGTACTAAAATGCGTTCGAAATTTGAATAAGTTCCATTCTAATTCTAAGTACACTACTTCAGCAGCAAATTGGTCTAAGATCCGAACCTACATCGATCTTCCCCGAGCTGATAAATAACAGAATGAAACATATTTTATCATGAATTTAGTATATTAGAAAATATATTAAAAATGGGTTGCCTAAAAAACCCTGGACAGATTATTTATTTTTAATTAATTTAAAATTTATATTTTTAATTAAATGTTACAACATCAAGGTAATAAGAAAATGATGTCCTAAAAACAGTATCATCATCATCAGCCTATTAATGTCCCCAATGCTGGGGTACAGTCTTTCCCTATGGATGGAATAGGGAGATTGGGCCATGACCTACCACGCGGGCACAGTGCGGATTGGTGGGTGCTAACGACTGCAGATGCAGCCGGGACCAACGGCTTAACGTGCCTTCCGAAGCACGGAGGGGCTCGAGATAGTAAATTTTTGATCACCCATCCAATGACCGACCACTGCGAAAGTTGCTTAACTTCAACGATCGCAGCCGAACGTGCTAACCACTTGCAACATCGAGCTCCTCAAAACAGTATAAAACATATAAAATGTGCAGCTGTTGGGTTATCTATTATTTGCCTGGGCGAACTACTGGGTTGCCAGGTATAAACAGGTATATCGATGCCAGTTACGTTACCCAACGGCTGCACATTCTATACGTTTTAAACTTTAAGGCAGGACAACAGTTTCTTATTATCTTGATGTTGCAACATATATATTTTGACGTGACAACGTCTTAAATTAGGTTGCGGCTGGGAGTCACTTATGAAAAAGTGTAACGCTCGGTAACGTTACGATGAGTCTCTCGTGTTAAGTTTAAGTTTACATGTACAATGTTTTAGTAAACAAAATATATTTCTATAGTTAAAATTTGTGCAATTCTTATTTTCATTCAATTCCTTGTTCCTATTGTGCAATTTAATTATATTCATATCAATAAATATTCTACCGAGAAAAAGACGTTGTCACGTAAAATCTTCGCCCGTAAAACCGACTTTACAGGCAACCATTTTTTTTTGACGTGACAACGTCTTAAATTAGGTTGCGGCTGGGAGTCACTTATGAAAAAGTGTAACGCTCGGTAACGTTACGATGAGTCTCTCGTGTTAAGTTTAAGTTTACATGTACAATGTTTTAGTAAACAAAATATATTTCTATAGTTAAAATTTGTGCAATTCTTATTTTCATTCAATTCCTTGTTCCTATTGTGCAATTTAATTATATTCATATCAATAAATATTCTACCGAGAAAAAGACGTTGTCACGTAAAATCTTCGCCCGTAAAACCGACTTTACAGGCAACCATTTTTTAATAATTAAATATAGTCTGTCCGGGGTTTTTTAGGTAATCCAATATTCTGTTATATACTAAAGTCATGATAAAATATGTTTCATTCTATTATCAGTTTGGTCAAGGTTGATGTCGGTTTGGATCTCCTACTAATTTATCGCCTCCCAGAGAAAATGACTAGAGAGATACTTGTTTTGCTAACTTATTCTGTACTGTACAAGACTTCACTTACACTTACCATCAATATCTAAGTACATAATTACTAAAATCTAGAAAATAATTTAAACATTTCTCACCTCGTTCATAATGATAGTGCCATCAATAGCAAGTAGTAAATCTTTTAGTGTTGTTCTCACTAAAGATATTACTTTTTGCATTCTATCAATTTCTTGGCGCAAAAAGATTACCATAGAATTGTACATTCCATACAGCTTCAATCTGAAATAATAAAAACTGAACAAGGATGTGACGTGTGAATAGTTCACGATCCTAAACCCGCAAACGGTTTTATGGCCTTAAACTTCAGCAACATTGCCTCCTCATGTGTGTTCTACCTCTCGTAGAGCGGTGTTCTGATATAATACCCTGTGTCAACTAACATCATGTCACGGCAATACGCTCGTGTTATGTCACGTCTCCTCTGCAGTCCCTTGAACGATACACGTGCGTTCGACACCGGTAACAAAATTAAAGCTTTTTTCGTTAAATGAATGAATAAGAAAATTGCACTTAAATCCATTAAATTATTGTCCATTTTCTTATACAAACCTACAACGTGCTTAAGTTTAATTTGTATCTAGTCTAATACGTCCACTTGAGAACATATTGGGACAACAATGTAACTGTGAGATATCAAAAAAATCAGTCCTTTGATTTTTGTTTTGTTTTATTCCTAGGCTCTATATCGCGATCAAAAGTAGTATTCTATTTATTATTTTTAAAAACTACAAAGCCCTTACCTTTCTTTAACTTCATGAGGATCGAAATTAGGTGGCACTTTCTCCAGCATTTCTTTAGATTGCCTATATACTGAAGCTTCTCGTGTTTCACCGCCGCCAGAGCTAGACTCTTTGGGCTGAATAGACAATATCGTGTCTAACAAATCTTGGGTTACATTGCGCTGATATCTAAAGAAAATTTTAATTATAAATATTTTATTAAAAAATAATTTTATATCTAAAACACAGTACTACAGTCTGTTAAATAAGTATGGTTACGTGATATCAGCATTAGTGTGCAATCCGTAAGCTTGTGGTGGATCAACAGTTTTCATCTTTTCTATCTCCTCAATATATTCAGCAATATTTTTGAACTTCATAATTCCATAGCCCTTGTAGAACTGGAAGTCATCACTAAACAGTTGGTCCGAAAACCAAACTTTGGTAAAGGTGACCAGAAGGCGATTGTCGTAGTCATCTGTTACTCTACCACCATACTGCACTGCTGAAACCATGTATCTGAAAGGAAAACCAATGTATACTAAAAATTTGACATAAAAAACCAATAATACATTCAAGCATACACTATGATATTTTATTTCAGTTTAATCATAATTAACTATTGAGACATTTTATTTTGAAATTTTGTTTATAGGGTGTTAATATGGTCCACATAGAGGTAAGTGAATTCTTGGTTGCGATAGTGGACATACACTTGCAATACTAGAAATTACCACTAATACATTGGCCACCATTCCTGTGGATCTTTTGCAAAGTTTCTCACTGGAAGAACCTTACAGACCACAGTGTTATTTCGAGTTGTCTATGAGTTGGATATTACTTTCACAGACGGAAGCCCAATACAAATAGAATTTTAAAAAATTACAAACCTCACAGTTGTCCAGCTGATTCCTTGTCCCGGTTCTAAGCTGTCCAAGTGATTTTGGACGAACATACATGAAGCTAACCAATCTGCCGAGTTGAACTCGTATGGAATATTCCACCCTAGAGGGCCGAACTTACGTCTCTCTTGGACCACAGTGTGCAAGAAAGAGATGACATATATAAGTGGCAGATAAAAAGGACTATCACTGTAATCCAAGAAGTCCTGGCTCATTGAATCATATGTCCTCATGAGACTAGCTTTGATACCTAAAATACAATGAAATAAATTAACAACTCTATCGGTATAGACCATAGTTCGTTGGGTAAGAGATTTTCCGCTAACCTGATGGTGGCTCACATGTATATTTGATAGACATTTGTAACATTGTAATTGGGAACTTCGGGTGAACCTCAGTTGTAATAAATAATCTAGAACATATTAATAAAATCATAATTATAATCAAAACTGTATCCTTTTTTCAATAAGCACTACAAAGATATCGTTATTTACCTGAATGTCTCGTGGATTTTCTCCGTATCTTTCTCTAGTTCACCAAATTGCTCCATTACTTCTACCATATATTCCAAGCCCAAATGGCAATTTTGTAATAGAACCCAAAGACCCTGTTTTAAATTAGATCACACCATGTAAGTGTAATCAAATCACTATATTTTATTAAGATCAGTTTCCAAATTGTCACAAAAAATATTTAATATAATTTATATTCACAATAGAAACCAAAAATACCCATCATCATAAAGAACGGTAGACAAGGGACAAGTCTATCGTTCGTCAAAAAATCTAATTTTGTGAAAAGTCAGCCATCGATTAAATATGATTTGCAGTTTACCTCTTTTAGAGCACGATCTATGAGTTTTCTGGCATGAATTTCCTGTCCCTGTCCCATCGATATGGACGAGCAAACGCACTCCATTCTCTTAGCGGTTGTCTCAATTGATGGCGTAGGATCAGAACCCATAGCCAAGAATCCAATTAGCGGTACTAAGGGACGAGATTCCAAAACCATATGCTGAAAATATAACATTGATCATCTGGCATGAAGGGAGGGCTTAGTTTAGAGTTTGTGTTTAGAAGTTACCTTGTTATAATAGTTCCACTACACACACACTACACTACATATAAACACGAATTATTTTCATGACAATGAGCTTTCTAAAACATTTTGATAATAATAATAAAATTACCTCATAGTTCACTATAACAGCTTCAGTATACCGGGATCCCATCGAATACTCGACGTATTTCCTAAAAAATAGTATTGAAGTTAATCCTGGATTAATATTAAAAATTACTTAGATAATTGCATGCTTGAAGTATTATTGACCAATAAATTAAACCACTTACAAACTCTGAGCGAGTGTTCTATCAGGACACCATGCTCTTACTATTAATAGTTTTCTGAATACGTCAAGAGTATGATATCCATCTGGTAAAGGTTCATCTTCGGGCGCTTCCTTATCGAACCTAAAAAATAACAAATAATTTCACTAACATACGACAGCAAGCAAACATCGGGATCCAAAAACTTTTAAATTGTACTAGATATATTTACCAAGACTTCCAACCCTTCTCATTGTTGCAGACTTGGTTGAGAATATTGGTAAACTGACGCAACGATGATAACTGCACCAAATTCAGCCAGGACATATCGGTGACCCACTTGAAGGGTTTCGGTGGACAAGCGTTAAGATCTAACGCAGCGCCACCTATCAAATATCATAATGCATAATATTTTCCCAAAAGAATACAGCATAAGCCTCCCCAAGAAAGACGAGAAGAAGATTTGCTGGGTGCGCAACACGCGTGTAATACTCCTGGAGTTGGAGCCGTTCATACTATAGGCCGTGTTACATCTTACTATCAGGCGCAGCGTTAACCTTGTTTATTTGCCTTCAGACTTTTATATTAAAAGTACAGCAAAATACAAAGTTCAGATGGATAATAAAAGTTAACGCAATGTAGTTTTAGAAATTGCAGATGATACACTGCTCCTAGCAAAAAATCTTAGACACAACTAATGCTAATTATGGGAGCTGAAATGTTTTAAATTATAGTATGACAAAAAAGTTTAAAACAAAATGTGCTCTTTTGTAAGCATATATTTCAATAGATCTTTTATTGAGACAATAAACAAACCTTTGATAAATGTTTGAAACTCTTCATATGAGACATACTCCTTTTGCATATCAATCTTCAACGTAAGAAGTAACGTAAACAAGTACTTATGTACCTCGTAAAAACCTCTACTTATATACTTAAAAACGTCAAATGTCTGTAAGAATAAAATAAGTAATGGTATTATTGTGATTTTAGGGCTGTTTCGGGATTAATACTCGGTAAACTGTTCTCTTCAGCGGGGTGATTTATTAGAAATGGTGGTCTAGAAAGATCTTAGTTTCTTAATAATTTGTATTATTTATTAACAATAGTAAATTATTAATGAAAGTCCTGGAGTTAGAATATTGGGAACGGCCACTTTATGAACTACTAAAACTCAAAAAAATGAAGTGAGAAATAAATTAAGCTTACTGAAAACCCCATATTCTATAATTTAATGTAAGTATATTCTCACCAAATAATCGATGATAAAACCAATTCTCCTACTCGTGATCGGGCTTTGAGGAGACCTCTCCATAGAAATGTCGAAACGCTCCAAAAACTGCGCCAGTGATGTTTGATACATATTGCACACGAGCGACATGTTGCAAATTAGGAAATAAAGCACGGAACCGCGAGTGGCCACTGGACGAAACTCTTCGCGAGCCAAATTAATCTTCATCTCCGTCTCCTTAGCCACGTCCAATTTTTCTTTCACCTTTAACGATACGTTTATATTATGTAATTTTTTTAGCAGCGCCAAATTATTGCTTAAAATTGTATAGTAACTTTTGCAGTATTGTCACGCTTTTTTTCTCACCTCCGTCGCTGTCGCTTTTGTAATATTTAACACCTGAATCAGTGAAACATCTTCCACTAACGAGCCTTGAATAGTGGTAAGCTTGTGCAGCAAGTTTGCTTCAAGCTCCTGCATCTTACGTCTGTTTGCTGTCACGTCCATGATCAGCTGAGTACGCTCAGCTTCCATCTCTGCCTTCTCCGTCAAAATTACACGTCCCAACAGCTGGTCTTCCAGACCTAGTTATTTTGTTAACGAAATTTAAATGTATCTTTAGTTAATGCATATCCAAAATAAAATATGTATTATTTTCTAAAGACTAAAATACAAGTTTTGTTATTTTTACTACCTATTTCATCATCATCATCATCATCGACCTATGCTCGTCCACTGCTGGACATAGGTCTCTCCTATTTATTTCATTTGAATTTCTACCTAAATCAAATTACATTGCACTTTGCACAATATTTTACCAAATAAATTGAAAAATAGATAACATAAGAACCTTGCATGGTGACAGTAAAATCAATAATGGAGGTACGAGCAGAAACCTCAGGAGTATACGCAGGATTAGGAAGTTTCGTGGTTATGTATATTCTATGTCCTGCTGTCACATCAATTTCTTTATCTCCCAATTTCACCTGTAGTAATTTTAATGTCATTATAATATCTCATTTAAAATTATTTAAAAAGTAAAATGAAATTTTATCCTACTTTGAAGGAGGAACCGATCTTGATATAGTTTCGCTCAAGAATGTTATCTAGAGCTGGATCTAATTCCTCAGCAACATCCTCTATCAACAGAGGTCTTCCAAGCGAGACGCAATCCTCGATGTGATTTCTGCAAATTCGTTACATGGCAGTCACATACGTACATCTAATTACGAAAACGCTTTAGTTTAAACTTGAAATCGTAATCTAGGTATTACAAATTATTTAAATTATTATATTTATATATTAAGCATTGAATCGCTAGATGTTTAAATCTCCGATATCCAGATAGCGGTAGGATTAGAATCCCGCCTGAAACCTGGACCGAGTGGAATTTTCCATAAATTATTTAAACCTTAAACATTTAACCATTAACTTGTGTTATACAAAAATGTACACAAAATATAAACAAATACCTGAAATATTTATGATTAAGTGTGGTGACAATGAGGTCGTTATATCTCTCCATGTTCTTTATCCATATCTTGCCTTGTGTTTGGGGGTCAATTAGTAGCGGGAATCGAGAAGCTTTTGTTACAATAATACCGTTTTGTATAGACAGTTCGTCTGTTGGTAATCCACATAAGTTCCATTCACCAATCTAGCAGAAAATGAATATATTTTTTACAGTTATGTTTTTTTATTTATTTTTAAGCATTTAACTGCTAGATGTTTAAATCTAAAGAAAAGTTTACTAGAAAAAAAATCCACGCGGACCAGGCAGCATTTAATTATTTAAACATCTAGCAGTTAAATGCTTAAAAATAATAAAAAACATAACTATAATTGCTATTTCTTCTTTCAAATGTTTAATACTTGAAAAAGTATTAATTTGACATTGTGGGTTACCTACAATGCGAAGAGATGGCGCTGCCTTGCAGCTTAAGGCTAGGAAAATTTCGACGCGGCGAATAGGGCCGTGGTAGCATAATGGTCAGTGCATTCGCCTGGATCGATAAGGGTGCGGGTTTGAGTCTCGTCCGCTGCCTGGTTCGCGTGGATTTTTTTCTAGTAAACTTTTCTTTATATTTTTTACAAATCCCCCATTATACAATATAAATATAATATTTATTGGTAAACTTACAGTAGCAGTATCGGTTAACTGTTCAGTAATGTTCAAATTCATAGAAACAGGTATTTTCCGTTTAAGCAGTTCCGATAGCCAGCATGTTATTAAATGGTTTCTAAATTCTTGGTTGAAGGGACCCGAGTAGGATAAAAATCTGAAACAAATAATAATTACCTGCACTGATCAATTTATTTTATATAAATTTAACAAGATGTCAGCCCGATAAATATGCGGAAATGTTAGTTTTATTCCAGTGTAATGGCTCAATCACATTTTGTCGTTAGCCCGAATATGATTGCCAATGGAATTCGGGTAAACGACTAAATGTGAATGAATGGGGTCGAGTACGCCCGTATTCGGGTAGTTTTGGTTACCCGACAACGTCTCCAGTATTCCAGTGTAAATATTGCTTCGGGTGCCTGAAATCGAGTAATGTCTTTCGTGCACCCGAAAATGGGCTAATGACCAAGTGTAATTGAGCCATGAGCAAAAAAAAATCATTTTTGATCTGTTGGATCAAACATTGTTTTTCTTCAAGGCAATGTTTAAAGCGTAGACAAACTTGAGACATACAAATGTCCTCTAAGAAAGTTGCATAATAACATCGAATCATACCCTACTAATAACAGTATATCTCCAACAAGTCGTTCTATTTCAGATTTAAACAGTGCTGATTGCTCCGTCCATCGTATTCTCTCTCCGCTGAGGCCGTTAATAAGCGCAGTAGCTGCGTCCATTTTCTGTTGACATTTAGCTGCGTCGTCCAATACAGCTTGTTTCAGTGTCATCGCCTCGTCAAATTGTCTTTGCACGTCTGCTAGCTCGCGCTAAGTTGACAAATATTTGTTATCTATTGTAATTATGTGAAAAAAGAAACATACTATACTAATATGGAACAGATTTTATAAATACAGTACCTCTTTTGCCTCTAACTGTGCCTCTGCCGCGTCCAACTCTTTTTTGGCTGCTTGATACTTGCCTTGCATGACTGCTAAATTAGCCTTTAGTGGTAATACATCCTTATTGACAGAGTAGAACTGCGCCATGGCTATGGTCCACGAGATAAGACCAGCCACATTACCGCAAGCAACTTTGGCAGCTTCAAATGTATATTGCCTAAAACATTACTTGCTATAAATAGACGTTGCCTACGTGCTTTGTTACAGAAAAGCTACTTGACCATATTTAGAATTTATATTGTTTAATAATAATTACTTAGTCGTATGTTTTCTTTCTGTCAAATATTAGTATAGAGGTATTTCAGCACTCTGTCTTTGTATGTAACTTATTATAATTGAGAAGCATCTTCCAAAAATATAACTGTGATACTTACGGAAAATTGAAATAAGGTTGCAACAAATCAACCATCTCAGCATTTATTTCGTCCTTGGGATAAAACTTCAAGTTGTTTAGAAATCTTGTATCAGCCATTACCTAATAGATAACAATTTATTAATAACATTAAAATTCAAAAACAAAGACTTTATTTAATCTTATTTTGGTTAAATATACAGTTACAGAATTATAGGATTCCCGCAAGTTGCACTATTCAAGGCTCGATAGTAATTTATAATTCCTGGCCGAGGTAATATCTAAATATTTATACAATACTAACCTTCAGTGATTCCGCCCAAGATGCAGTTAGAAACTGCTTTTCGGGGTCAGGTCTGATAGGGTCAATTTTCTTTCTAAATAGCAGTATCACAGCGTCCATAATGAGCGTAATCAGGAATGGTGGTTTTCCCAATTTTCTCACTGTGGCTATGTCAGCTGCGTTGATTGTCTGTGAAAGAGAGACCAACGTAAAAAAATACTTTTTTATAACATTACTATTGACCGCTTCACTTCGGTGTATAGCTGTAGTGTAGACCATAGTTTTTCGTTCTCAGGCTTGTATACACAATGAATTTCTTTATAAATACCATGAAAATTTATTTAACTGAAACTCAAGAGATAAACTTTTTTAATGTAATATAAATTGTCATGTTTGTGAACGATAGCGCAATAAATAAATATTGTATTCTACCACATACATGAAAGTGAAAATTTTGTTGCATAGTTTAGAACCCTTTGCACCGAATGTACAATTATTTTGGTTGAACGCACAAATCTCAGGAACTAATGGTCCGATTTGAAAAAATCTCTGTGGTAGTTATACATTTATTGAGGAAGGCTTAAGATTATATAAAATCACGCTGCGACCAGTAGGAGCGTAAAATGTTGCAAAAACGGGCAAAAATATTCCATTTGGGAGATTCCGTTGCGAGCGCTGCGTAAATGATTAAAGTTAGACAAAAAATACGTGTAACGGAATTTTTCCTCTTTCAAAGTTCTATAAAAATGGCCGCAACAGCATGTGCTTATCTTTTAAGTTTGACTCACTATAACCTTTTTCCTCAAATTAATCAATTTAATCGGTCCAGTACTTTCGGAGCCTATTCAAAACGAACAAACAAACAATTAAATCTTTCCTCTTTATAATATTAATATAGATTTTCTATCGCCAATCGATTTGAATCTATTTAATATTTTAGACGACTGCCCAAAAAATTGTGATATAATTTCAGGTTTCTTAAGTACGATTCTTTAGTTTAATTAGGTTTTTAACCCACGACTTTCTTACCACAGAGAGAAGTTGACCAATGTGTTGACCAATGAATTGTGTATGTATTTTGAACAATGCCTTTGGTTTTCTTGAAGGAAGACTGCTCAGCTCTGCGCAGGTCTGATTTTGTGGGAACGAAGCCTAATGTAATGTATGTCAAGCAATAGTTGGTTATAAAAATCTCTTTGTATTGCATATGTGTGTTATTTTGTTTATCCTGTCTTTATATCCACGTTATGGATGATTAGATTTCAAATTGAACGTAATACTAAATCTATTTATTCAATAGTGGAAGAGTCTATAGTATAAACTATTTCTTTTATAATTGAAGTTTGAGTACACTTTTATACCTGTAAAGCTGCCTCAGCAGCATCCAAAGCTGGCTTGGCGGCAGCTAATTTCTCTTCAGCAATGGCTGTTTCAGCAGCAATCACGCTCACGAGCTTTACAGCCCGGTCTTTCACTTCCAACACTTCAGCTTTCACTACTTCAGCTGCAGCTTGAGAATCGGCCACGGCTGCCAATACCTATCAAAATTTAATTATATATCTTACCCTTAGGAAAATTATTCTTATGATAAAATTGTAAACAGAAGAAGATGGATTATATTTAAATGTTATAAAAAAATATTTAATCGAAAAGAGGATCCATCAAATTATGGAGAGACAAAGTAATTACATTAAAACTATATCAGAAACAGCAAAACCTACCTCTTCAGCTTTAGCAGTGGCCTCTTTAATTTCGACTTCCTTCAATTCCAATTCTTTCTTCAATATATCAACACTTGCAGCAGCTTCCACAAGTTTATCTAAGCCAGTTGTCATTCTGAAATAAAATCAGTTCAGGCAAAGCCATTATTACATTATATTTAAAACGACTTTAAAATTAGTACATATTTAAAAACCACAAACCGTTTTGCCATTTCAGCAATATTGTCATGTTTTTCATTATACAATACTTTGTACCCTGCGAGGAATGATAAATAAGACTTAGGTGTGACGTGAGCTTGTCGCCTAAACCTGTCATAATAAGTAATGCATGTGTCAGCCACGTTGTCTTGTACCATACCCATTATTTCTATAAGTTGCGTTTTAGCCTCTGCAGAGCACACCACCTTTTAAACAATGAATTTAAAGTCATTCACATTGGTATAATAAAAACCGACTAAAAGTATGACGCTAAAAATATTATTCTTGTGCAAATACATAATTAAATTATAATATACCTTAAAGTCGTGAAGGAAATGATGAGCCACTTCAATTAATGCTTCTCTGGGCCACTTTTGGAACCAGTCCATTACTGAACCAGATATTAATCCAGGAAATTTCAAAGCTCTACTACGGAATTTCTCACCCACCTAAACATGAGTATTTTGGAGTTAAATCACTTATTCCCAGAAAATAAAGAAAATAAGAAATATTCAACTAACCGGAGAAAAGCACAAAACAACATGTAAATTAGCTCTAGAACGCATGATAAAGTATTCGTATAGAACATCCGGCACTGGAATTCTTTTAGGTGCATATTTCTTCATTATCGGTGTTAATTCATTTAATATTTCATCTAAAATAAGAGTTAAATTATAGAATGTTTTTAGATGCCTATTTCTAAATCCAAAATATTTGAAACAAGGTAACCGACAACCATTTAAGTACTGACACACCGGTATACCAACAATTATTCTTTTTAGAGTTCCATACCTCAAAAAGGAAAAAGGGAACCTTTATAGGATCACTTTGTTACTTTGTTATCCGCCTGTCCGTCTGTCTGTCAAGGAAACGCGTGAAGGTATCGAGTTGTAATTAAAACGTATACACAGGTATGTGGTCCCTTGAAGCTGTGAAAAATTAAAACTCATGTTGCGTACCTACAAAGTACGAAACCCTGGGTGGCCGAGCCCGATTCGTACTTGTCCGGTTTTTTATAACTCACCTCAAATTAATGCTCAATAAAAAACTTAAACGCATTAAATCGTTAAAAAGGCTATCTATCTAATTTCCGGTTTCCTTAAAATATGACAACAAGTTAATATTATAAAATAATAAAATTATACCCATCTCATCCTTAGGAAACAAATTAGCAATCTCGCCAGAGCTCAGGATGTTATTTAGAAACTCGAGAAACTGTTCATCCTTGATATCATTATCGGTGAAAATAAACGAAATACCACGCCCCTGTAGTCCAGCTATACGATACAGGATCTTAATGTCATCCATAAAGTTACTTACATTATAAGATCTGCCAAAGTGAATTATTATTTAAATTTCAATACTGTTGAATTTAATAGTCATGAACATACACAAGTAAAACAGTGATTTCGAAAATAATTAAATCTGTTTTATATGTCATGATTTACCTTGTTAATGTGATTTGATAAAACGAAAAATTTGCTATATGCGAAGCCAATTTTGTCAAACTCTGTTTGCCAGATCCACCAACACCAACTAACAAAGCATTTCCTCTAAAAAATAGTATGAAATATTTGTTTTAAACCTAAATCTTAATTTTATTCAAGAAAGCCTTACAACCGAATAACATCTGCTTACCGCGGCGTGTTTATTATCCTAGATATTATGAAAAGATGCACCATGGCGTCATGAAAGAATACCAAATCCAAATGAGCTCCTCGAATTTGCTCGTTGAACAAATCTTGGAATCCAGCCAACTTCGAAAGTACGAAATCCCATCTAACAGATAAAAAAGTTAAAGCTTCATTTACAAATATCCCTTAAACAGTAAAATAGCACATAAATGTTCAAATAAAAAATTACTTGCACATAATTTCGAAATTCTCTCAACTTCACCGTCTATATTTTGTGCCTTTATTTTATGCAAATCATTTTTAAATTTATATTTAAAACAAATATCGCTGATTACAATACTTTCTAGATAACTGAAGTATCTTAAAATCAACAACCTCTGGACTAATCATTTGTCTTTGTTTTATCTATTTAAAACCCTCTACTTACGATGGTAACTCCTCATAAATTTTGGGGGCATCAGTACTGAAATCTTCCTCATCTTCCTCCCCGGTCGGATCAACAGGCTCCCTGAGGAAGTTCACGAAGAATGTTTCCTCTGTAGGAAATTCACTGACTACATCAGGCAGCTCTTGAGAAGCAGTCTTCCAAAAGTTTGCAACGAACCAATCCTTATCTTCGAACGTTGTAAATCTGAATTACATCAGTTAAATATTGAAAGAATTTGAAAAAGTGATAAATTAACTATAGTCGCTGTCAGGAGAAGATGTAAGTATATAATGTAAATATCATATAATATAGCGCCGTAGTTCGTTGCATTCGATATTTACTCGAGCGTCAAAATGAATTTAGAATACCATGCTTAAGGGTTGATTTTTGTTAACAGTGAACAGGTTCTTATAATTAAAAAAAAGTAATATTGCAAACAATAAAAAAACAGCTATTACCTACCTAATTTGTAACCTTATTAAATTAAACAATAAACAAACCTATCTGAAATTACTCTCAAGCACTCATGGAACCATAATTTGAGTGCTGTGTTGATAGATTGCAATTCTTCTTTCTTTATAAAAAGAATTCCTTCCCAAATTCGAGATAAATCACGTAGATTGAAAACATAGTGAAACTTCGCAGGTGTCGGTAGCATTTTAGTCTGCAAATATATGTAGTTATTATTATTTTTAATATTATTTATTCAATATTTATACGGGATATAGTATTGAGTACCTTTGTTTGCTGCCAAATTATTCGTGTAACGGGTACCAATTTCGGCATAAAATCGACGATTTTCTTATCAAATCTTGATTTACAAAAGTAACCTGCACTTATAGTTTCTGTAAAATATTTAATTTCATACGATACACCGAAATTTAAATAAAATATAAAAAATACTTACAAGTTTTGGTGTTTTTTACAAATAACTAACCAAATATCCTATCCATTGAAACCGTACTAGGTAGTGTACAATTAAATATATTGAATTGTCGTTTTAAGCGAGGTGGAATATCATTACGGCCACCACCTAAACAGAAGTAGGTACAAATAATAAAATACATGAGCATATTTATGGATAACAAAAAATGTTGCGTTACTAAAATGATATTACCAGGATGTATCATAGCACCAAACATCTGTATTCCAGCAATAGTAATAAAATCCCCGGGCTTATCTAGAGAATAAAATCCTCCGCATTCCATCATTTGACGCACTATTTCATTTGTTACCTAATAAATTTAGAAATTTTAATGCAGACCATGCAAAATGTTCCTGATCCATTTATCTAAGTTATGTATCTACTAAAAATTATATCACCTGATCTCCCCACTCGTTGACCACAGGCATATTGATATCATCAACAAATACAGTCATCGATCTGCCCCCTGGTGGACCATAAGTCATTCCCACTCGTTTTTCCACGTAAGACTCAATAATCCTCTGTAGCAAAGTTTTAATATTACTCAACGTAAATTCTTGCTTAAATAATAATAATTAATTCGGAAAAGCTTCACAATAGTTATTTAGTCCAAAACTAAACTTATAGAAGACAACAAAGCGATATATAAATGAAAAAGAATTTATGTTTATCTTAAAATTAAATGTCTCTTCAGAATTCGATCTCAAGACCCAAAGGTCTTGTTAATGTCATTAACATTTTGGTACAACGACTTTCTGCTCCAAAGAGCAGAAAGCGCTGTCGTTGTACCAAAGATTTGTCTATTGTGATTTAAACGGTTCGAATATAACTTGCTTGATGAATTCAAGTTGGTATTATTTTTTACAATATACCTATATTTAAGTATTATACTCCATAGTAAAAAGATGTTAACTACCTGAAACATATTAGGAGTAGTTGCGGACGAAAAATTAATCATCTTAAACAGCTTAACCTCATTGTCATACTTTGTCATGTAGCTCTTTAACATCACTGTTTTGGCAGTACCCTGTTCACCGATGAGCAGCACTGCCTTGTTTTGCTTGGCAATCGTATCAATCAGGAATGAAATACATACGTTATCAACATTTGGTACTAAAATAGAGGCATACTCTGGAATACTGTCAGAGGGGTAAATGTAGTCTTCTACGCTCTCAGACCTAAAAGTATAATGGGAGTCGATTCAAATAAATGATGAAAATACAGTAGAAAATTCATTTCAAACTTTATTTAGCTAACCAGTGTAGCCAAACCCCAGTTTCTGTTACCATATACTCAAATGGCATGACCCACTCCTTGGACTTTGCGCCAGGCCAGTCCATCTTCACTGGCAACTTCATCATAAACTCAGCCATAAGGGTGCGAGCGTCCAGTTCTAACACGGCACCCAATGACCACATCATCGCGAATATGAACAGACGCTCTAGATGACGATCCGTGTGTATTTCTAAAAGTTAAACGAACAAAATCATAATAATAACAATGAGGGGTAAAGCAGAATATAGTATAATAATTCTAGTAAATGAGTTACTTACTTCCACCAGGTATTTCAATTTGAAGAAGACCAATCAACACATCTATGCATTGTCTGCAAAGGTAAAATTTAAAAATTAAATTAAATATAAGAAAATAAGTAGTCGTAATTTCCATTTATTTTGGGGATATTGCAGCAATTATTAAATCACAAACGAGTGAGATACGCATGTACTATGCTAACTGAATAATAATGCAAATATAAACAACTATAAAACAGGAATAACCATTTCATACAGATTTGAAAAAAACACTATTATTCCAAATATTATCAAATTGAACAAAAGCTATTATTTTTAATTTCATCTGTCTGATTATACATGTTTTTTTTTGTAAGTTATTATCTTTAACCAATAATAAATATTTTGATTATTTATTCTCTAGATAGAGCGTGGCAGCGTAGATGCGTTGAAAAAAATATCTCCCACCTGGTGGGGTCTAAGTCGTTTTTCCTGTCACTTAGTGTTCAGAACAACGCTGAGCGATAATCATGTCAACTACCAAGTTCCATGTTGACACTATTGATTCAAAATGCTGAGTTGCGCGATAAAAAATTGCCGAAATTAGAAAGGACGCATAAAACAACCAACAAGGTCACTTACCATCGGTAAGTAACTCATTATTCACCATAAAAAAATAAAACACATCATATTAGTTTAAAAAAATACGACTCCATCTTGATATTTTCAAAGTGATGTCAGTGTCTCATTACAAAATTCCACAAAAACAGTAAATATAGCGTAATCAAAAGTAAGTATGGAGATCCAAAAATGAAGAAAGAGCTTCGATAGAAAAATACTTATGACGAACACGAAGTCTGCAATTTCTAACTGTTTTCAGTGGCTTGATAAGATCTGAAAAATGTATAAGGCTAAAGGGAAAATATTTTGAAAAGGATAAATAATTTCATGTTTTATTTCTGCCATCTGCCCCTTTATCTTGAGCAGTGTGCGAAAGGAAAAATATAGATTGATGACCTAAAGCTTACAAGATTGTAAAACAAAAGTTTTGCGTCACAGAGGCATATACATTTTATATGTACTATTTTAAAGATAAATAATAATAAACTACTAAATTCAAGGCATTTCTATATTAACATGACTGTTATTTTCGTAATAAACAGGTTAAAGTAAATAAAATTTTGTAAAAAAAAATATCTAAGTATAAATAAATCTATACGTTTTACAGATGTTTCTACGTCTATGATTTTTAAATGTGTGAACAATATACCTACTAATTTTGATTGAGATAAAGATTACCCATTTTTGGGGATTGTGGCCTATCCTGCTTACAATCATCGTCTTACACTTGCGAAATGACATTTATATGTCACAAAAAATGTAATTTCTCATGTGAAAGAAAAAAGATTCGCGTGTTCTGTTTTGCGTGTCACGCACACAAGTATAAAACCTGGCCTCTTTTATCACAGTGTTTACAAGGTAACGCTCTATCTAGAGAGTAAATAATGAAAGAAAAAATATTATAAAAGTTAAAAAAATGCTAAATGTATATTTATCTTTCAAAAGAAGTATGCGCATTAATTTGCCTCGTAAACAAGTGTTAGAAAAAATATACTAACCTAATGTAAATAGCTTCAAGTAACTTCATTTTCGTTGTCAATTTTTGTTGTACGAAAACATGAACTGCATCATACACTTTATTAAACGCATTACGGAACGCATCTGATTCTTTCTGTGATCTTGTTTTCAACCATCCCTACGAAAATGAAATTTAGATATATTTATACATATATTGATATTTAGACATGTCAAAAACCCTTTCTTCTTCGAGCTTGAGCAGTGAACAATCCATTATATTTAGATTTAAACATCAAGCAGTTACATGCCTAAAAAAATAAAAATTATAATCCATTATATTTTAAAAATGAAACTTTTATTACATCCCTTCCAATTTTTTCATGCATTTACCACAAGTCGAATTACAACCGGACTCGAAGTAAAGCAGGGCCAGGGGAACAGTTCCATGCAAGCATCTCTATTACAAATAAATTGCACACACAAATTTGTTTTTAATAAGTTGTTAAATTTACAAGAAAACAGTTTTACCTCTAATATGGGCTGCCACTTGAGAACCGAGGAAGAAAGGAATACCATTCCCATTCGACTAACTGTTGCAGGTGAAGCATTGTCCACGTTATCTGGTTCGAAAACCAGTTTACTATTCTGAGCCATTGTGATGCGGTCACCATTCGCAAGTGTTAACGTTTTATTATCATCCAACACGGAGTTCAAATTTTCTATCCATACGGCGTCAACCGGACCATCTAAGTTATTGACAGAAAATAAGTGACTTTTTAAGAGCATTTTGTACATCTTGTCTAAAAGGTTAAAATTGTTTATTCATATTATTTAATCATCGTTATCTTTATAACTTCCATAAACTTTGGAAAAACGCGACTACGGCAATAAATGAAAAATAAAGCTACAAAGTGACATCTTTTGAAATTAACATAACGTCTTGGAGAATGCATGACATTTCTTAAATTTATTAATGAGTTAACGGAAAAGAAATGTGAATACAGTTTAAAGCACACACCTAACACAATCCATGTCGTGTCAGACTTCTTCACTTTTAGAGCTCTCCTCCACAAGGTAGAGAATATTCCGTCCGTCCAGTCATTAGTCGCTACATCTAAACGACCAAACATTTGCGGAGCCGTTATAGCCTGTGCAAATAATAACAATTATCGTACACTGTCCCTGTGTACTACTTACTGACATTCAATTTCTACTATAAAGCATAGTATGAGTCTTTAAAATATTAGTTAAAATTAGTAATTGGCATCCTAAAGTTAAAAAGTGCGAATATATTACTGTAATCAATATCTCAAAGTAAAACTCATATAAGTACATAATCGGATACCTTAGGGTTCATTCTCATTTCACGATGTGGTTTTCCAATCACAGTGAGAGCTGCCATCAGAGTATGTATACATGTTGTCTTTCCGGAGCCTGTTGGACCCATGGTCATCAGCCCGTGCCGTACTAGGGACGTCTCAAACAATTGAATTATTTTCAAATTCCAATCAGGATGATTTACTAGACCAGTACGCTCAGTTACTACTGCTATTGCTCGTTGCATCTCCCTATAATAAAATTAAATTCAAAAGTATATAGCAACCGCAAGATTTATAGTCACGTAATTATGGACCATGTAAAACTATTATTTACCTCTGAACAGTTTGAGTCAGTTTGATGCCAGGGAACAAATCTTCAATCAAAGAAACAAATAGAGGTTCATCTTCATCAACCAACTTAGACACATTCATTTCCCTAAAAAAGACAAATATTGAGTTTGATTTTTACCATCTAAAAAACTGTATTTTTTTTTTACTATAAACTTAATATTTTAAAACACTAACTTCAAAACTCTCATCATTATGTTTTCTTCAGTGCTCTCAGGATTTGCTCGTTTTTGTGCGCCCATTGTTCTCAATACCGATAAAATATTTCGAAGACCGAAATCATAATGCACTTGCTTTGAAAGCTGCTCTTCGCACAATTTATATAAAGTAAAGAACTTACGAGCTATAAAGGAAAAAAAATGATTTACAATCGAAAAAAGTATACCTTAGTTATACGTAAAAATTCTTATTACCCAATAAAATGTTTTCTTTAAAACCGCAGCTGGCTAATTTGACTCGTATAATGATTTGTCGGTCAGGTACCATCATTGCAACAGAGCGGAACTGTATTTTCAAATTTTCGGGTAGTTCTTGGCGACCAGCATAACCAGGATTCATAGTTATAATAAAGGCAAACTCTGGATTCAAGCTCACCGTATCGCCGTCACTACAAAAAAAATAAAATACTCTTGCAAAATTAAGATGCTGTTCATACTTTTAATTAATAAATATATAAATTACTTACCTAAATATGAAGAACTCTTTCTTTTCTCTTCTGGCTGTGAGGCATATGTAAATCTGCTGTGCAGCTACGGACAACACAGGCAACTCGATTCTGTTGAACTCATCAAAGCAACCCCAAGTTCCAGATTGAGCTAAACCTTTATAAATTCGACCTAAACCTAAAAACAGACCGCAAAGTTTCATGGGTACCCGTAGTGAAATGTATAATTACTTGAAAAAACATATCGCCTCATCAGCCATCTGATTCAACCAACCTCTGAAATCCATTTGGTCAGAGCAATTAAATACAATAACAAGTTTTCCAAGCGTACGGGCCATGTCTTTCGTAGTTTCCGTTTTACCAGTTCCAGCTGGACCAGCTGGAGCCCCACCCATGCTCATACCAATAGCTTGTGACAATGTGATATAACAGCGATCAGTCAAAGGAGTAATTACTAAACGCTCAGTGATGCCCAAGTACTCATTCTAAAACCGTTAATGAATATGTTAGCATTGAAGTAAATTAAGTTAAGCTCAGTTCTACCCTATTAGATCTATCAGAAATCGATAACCGAACACTGTGCTCAAAAGATATGTTTTATTAAGAAATTATCATTTGGCTAACCTGATACAAGAAATCTACATCGGTAATGGAAACGACACAATCGTCAGTATCTTCATAGTAGTAGAATCGGGCCTGTTTCTGCCATTCAAAATCTATTGGTGATTTAATTCTCATTTTGACTAGATCATCAAAGATATCCCTGTAAAATATATTATTTATATTAATAACATATTGAAAGTGTTTGAGAAACAATACAATTATTAATTATAAATCGAACCTTTGATGTACGTGAATAGTGATCATCGTCTCAATCCTAGTTCTATCCAAGGGATCTAAATCCCTAACTGTTTGATCAATGAGGCCATTGAGCAGATCCAAGTTCTTCTGGTTGGTTAATCTCATAATAAACTTATCTACTCTGGCTTTCTTTAGAGCATACTCTCCGTCGCTGGTCCACAAGATTTGCATACCTAACAATCCAGCCTGTAGAAAGTTATATATATTATTTTGTGCCTATCTAAAATGTCTTAGAATAACATTTTCGAAGAAACCACGGTATTGTTTATAAAACTTACCTGACCAGGGAAATGCCAAAAACCTGACAAGAATTCAAATTCTGGATCTCCGGACATGGTTTGAGCAATGTTAGCAATTACATTCCTCACTGTGTCTTTCATTGTGTCTAATAAGACGTTCAACCAAATCTAAGAAAAAGACACAGAAAGTTTAACTTCTCATGTAACTCAAAAATATACATAACAAAACATATGTAAGCTATATAAGAAATTAGATTTACCTCAACGCCTCCAAGACATGCAACTGGTCGATCGAGTGGTATAGTTTCTCCGTTGTCAGAGTTCATATTGATGATCCTCTCTTTATCATCAAAATCAACAGTATACATGGCATCAAATATACTTGGCAAATGTGGCTATAAAATACAAGCAAAAAAAGGTTTATTGTTTCATATTCAGTGTTTTTTTTTTGTATATTCGAAAAGAAGTACTCGCATGTGTGATAAAATAAATATTAAGTTTTTCTATTCACCTGTATAGAATGTGGATCCGAAGCCTGACCCAAAATCTCCAAAAGCACAGGATCTGACACAAAAAAGAATCGAGGGAAAATCAACCTCTTTGTCTCCAAATAGCCAGTGAGAGATTTCTGGCAAGCTTCTAGCTGCTCAAACAAGTGGGGCAGGAGCTGCTTCAAAGTGTCATCCGAAGTGCAAGTCTCTACGCAATTGACGATATCTCGAGCACGATACATAATCTTCACGTAAGTCTTGTCGATCGTCTAAAAATCACCAAAGTAATTACAAAATAAGAAAATTAGTTGAAAATAAAAAGCAATAAATAATTGGAAATATGTTTTCATTGTACTTACACTAAAACGTTTAGCTTCAGCAGGCAACTGTTTCGCAATATCACCTCCAACAAATACGGCCTCAAGATACATCCATAAGTTTTGAACTTGTAGCCATTTTTCTAAAATCTCACTAGTGCCCACCAACTTATTTATCCACAACACAATATCTTTCTTAAATGGAGCATTGTACCTAGCGATCAATATTAATTAAATAAATGTTATATGAATATGACGTTTTTAAGATATATAAAGATTATAATATAAGAACAGCCAATTACCTGTTTGATGCTAAAGAATTGAGGATCATCAAAGAGTCTTCAAGCAAGGTGATAATATCAAGAGTATCCTGGGGTTTGATGAGAAGCTCGCCACGATTTTTGAACGGAGCAAATGTAAGATCTATTACTGCCCAATCAGCGATTACTTGTTTCAACTTGGCTTCAATATCTTTTTCTTTTACAGCACTTATGCAGATATCCTAAAATTTCATTATTAATATACACTTCTGGACACATCTATTGGCCCACCTTGTATTTTCAGTTTCGTTTGGTCCTAGCTACAATTTTATATTAGGTCGAGCAAAAAGTTTTTATGCAGTTTTAAACCTGGCACATTCACAATTTCATTCAATAGTCTTTTTTTGAATTTCGAACATAGAATTTAAAGAAACAAAAGACAATTTAGAGCCTGTTTGTTGATATCAAACAATCGAATACTAAGAAAACTTGGTTTTATTGGTTTACTGGGATTTAATTCTTGAAAAAGTGATTGATATCTTTGGTTTTGCAACAAACATTACTTATTCTTAACATTAAGGTGAGGTTCTATCAATAATCTATGGATACTTCACCTGAAGTCGCCGCCCAAGCTGTGGCACTTATTCAGGCCGGACACAGCCAAAGAAACGTGAGTGCTCAACTTAATTTAAGTCAATCTGCGGTCCGAAATGTTTATCGGAGGTACCTAGAGACTGGCGGCTTTGTTCGTCGCCAAGGAAGGCCACGATCTCGGGTCACAACTGAAAGGCAGGATCGATTCATCGTGACGACCAGCTTGAGAAATCGTCATCTTACCTCCATTGAGATACAAAAACAAATTCACACAAGCCAGCTAATGGGCCCAAACTAACGCGAGCCCACCGAATAGCGCGCCTTCATTTCGCACGCAGTCATTTAAATTGGACACAGCAAGATTGGAGCCGTGTACTCTTTTCTGATGAGTCTAAAATTGTGTTACATGGCAATGATGGAAGGAAGAAGGTCTACCGACGTAAGGGAGAGCGTTTCGCACAATGCTGCTTTGAAGAGAGGGTTGCTTATGGCAGTGGCTCATGGACTGTCTGGGGCGGTATATCCGCGAGCGGCAAAACTCAACTTGAGGTTGTTACAGGACCACGGCTGCCAACATTAAATGCTGAAAGGTACATTCGTGAGTGCTTAAAACCTCACGTGACACCATACGCCGACTATGTGGGCCCAAATTTCCTTTTTATGCATGATAATGCAAGAGCCAATGCGGCCGGCATCGTCAGGGAATATCTTCGGGATGTGAACATCACAGTTATGGACTGGCCAGCCAGAAGCCCAGACGTGAACCCCATTGAGCACATGTGGGACGAGCTAAAAAGACGTGTTAGGGCTCGTCAGCCAGTTACCCAGACGATGCAGGAGTTGAAAACTGCCATAGAAGAGGAATGGGAGATGATCCCTCAAAATTTCATAGAGCGGTTGATAAACTCTATGCCTAATCGTATGAGAGCTGTGGTAGATGCCCATGGAGGCAACACGCGTTATTAAATTAAACCTTTATTTGATAAAACATGTTTTTTATTCAAAAATTGCCTTTAACAAGGCGCATATCCGACTTGTTAGGCGTAGCTCCATGTCGTATGGTATTCTGAATTCAAATTTAAAACAATACGATCGAAAAAGATGGTAAAATGTATCAGGTTTAAAACTGCATCAACAGTTTTTGTTCAATCTAGCAATCATATTTCGGTAGGGGCCATCGAAACCTAAACTCTAAGGTGGGCCAATAGATGTGTCCAGAAGTGTATTTAACAAAAGCGTTCATTGCAAGCCACATAGGTCGATAAGTATAGTCATATGTTTTAAGTCCTTAAATCAATTGTTAGTAATAACGTATTTAGTCCACCTAGACCTTTTATTAGTTCAACGGAACAGAGCGGATAACACTTGGTTTTACTACGTGATTTTTCAATCTATTTAACAATCCTATAAATTATTTAAGGCAATTTTTTGATAATCCTAAACACAAGTCACAATAAGACGTAAATAAATTAGAATGAAAACCAATATTTTTTCCTCTTTGCCTCTTTATTTTGGCAGCAGTCGTTTATATCTATAGTGCCGAAAAGTGCTATTTACAAGATTTTTTCTATGATCGCACTTACTTCTTCTACAGACCGACAAGGATCCCTACTAATGCGAACGAAAATCAGAACTAACGCCGCCGCCTCCGTAAACGTCAGTTTTTTGTATGTCATTTACGCAGACAGCGGCGCCCCCCCGAACCGTCACTCACACTCACAAAGATCCCCGTCGCACTGTATATATCATCATCATCATCAACAGCCTATCTTAGTCCACTGCTGGACATAGGCCTCTCCAATTGCACGCCACTCAGATCGATACTGGGCTACCTGCATCCAGCTCCTGCCAGCCACCTTGCGCAAATCGTCACTCCATCCTGTCTGAGGACGTCCTACACTACCTTTGCCTAGACGCGGTCTCCACTTCAGAATTCGTCTACCCCAACGGTTATCGGTTGTGCGCCAAATATGGCCAGCTCACTGCCACTTTACCTTGCTAATCCAGTGGGCTATGCTGATAACTCTGGTTCTCTGTCGGATCACCTTATCACTGATGCGATCCTTCAGAGAAACGCCGAGCATAGCCCTTTCCATAGCGCGCTGAGCGACTTTGAACCTGTGGGTCAGCCGTACCGTCAATGTCCACGTTTCGACTCCGTATGTCATCACAGGTAGGACGCACTGATTGAAGACTGTCTTTAGGCACTGTGGGATCAACGATGTCAGGACTTGAGGTATCTTTCCAAACGCTGCCCAACCCAGTAAATACGGTGGTTAAGCGATTTTATAAACTTTTTTTGTACCTTTTCAATGCGATTTATATGCACCTGATAGCAGGGACTCCAAACTGTGCTGCAAATATCAAAAATAGACCTAACAAACGCAAAAAACAACATTTTCAATGTTGATATTTGACTGAAAGGTTTACTAATCCTGAGAATAAAGCCTAGGTTACGGTAAGCAGAACCCAGTATATGGTCGATATGATTATTGAACGTTAATTTTGAGTGTAAACTGATACCCAAATTTCTAACTTCAGTGAATCTTTTGAGAGATGTGTCATTACTTTATAGTGGAAAGAAATGCTATTTTCTTACGTGTAAAAGAAATTACATTACATTTATCGCTGTTAAGGTAGAACCGATTGTTAACACAATACTTCTCCAAAGAAATCAAGTCTTCAAATTACAACAATCATTTCCTGATTTAACTATGAATAATTTAGTATCGTTAGCATATTGTAAACAATTACGATTTTTTAAACAGTGCTTCATGTCATTAATATAGATGGCAAAAAGCAACGGTCCAAAATGGGACCCTTGAGGAACTCCAGAAGGTACAGGCAGAAACTGAGAGCAATACCCCTTAACTACAACTGCCTGATTTCTATTTCTAAGATATGAATCGATCTATCTGCTGAGAAGGATATTTTATCAGTGTTTAATATGACTGAAATTAGCCTTAGGTTAGCTTATGTTGCTACGGTGACTATATCTGCTGCGTATGAGTTTGCTGCAAAAATGACCGGCAAAACACTTTTTACACAAGATCATTTATGTATCATTTACGGTCGTACTCAAGAGATGGTAGTTAATTGATTTTAAGTTTGATCAAAATTCATCATGCCTTTTTATTTGATATATAATTAGACAACACATAATTTTATCGTTTGATTGTTTTGAGCTTGTTCTATTTGATTTGGTTTAAATCTTCGTTCTTCTTCCGTTGCAGGTTTATTTTGTCCAATTCTTCCCCTTTTTTCTATTTTTGGTTTATTTGATTGATGTCATTATACTTTCAGGAATATTACAACCTTTTAATATAGTTATTAGTCTCAGAACCAAACAATGCACGGTAAGGGGATCTGGCAATTATGCGGTGGAAAGAAGAGTTTTTTATAGAATTGAACAAAATACAACCCATGGACCATTTAATAGATTTATTATTATCTTGCATCCATCTTTTTACGCTGCCTTGTGTTTTAGCACGTCGAGGACTACCGTGAATAATTAAATTCTTCTAAACGCAGAATAACATCAATCAAATAGAAACGCAAAAAAACGAGTATTTTAATAAAATAAGTGAATAATGATGTTATTTAAGAGTAACATTTGTGGTGCAATCCCAACTCCACTTTTTATATTTTGCTCAGTTTTTGCGTGATTTGCATAGTACTCGAGAAGCTTTTCGTCGTAAACCCTTTTGTTATCACTTTCTTCCTCATTTAATAACGAATTATGCACTTTTTCACTGCGAGAAACAACTGAGCAACTTCATGAACTGAGCAACTTCATGAACTGAGCAAATCTACGATATGGCCACAACATATAGATAAGGTAGTTACTCTTTCCTAGTTATATAAAAATTAAACTAGCGTTAACCAACCTCAACATCTTCTTTGTTTTTCAGAAGAGGTGCTTCCATCACATTAGCTAACGTGAAAGATTCCGATTCCACGTCCAATACGCAATCTATAATAAGCAAATTTTACAGTTAAAATGTTATTATATGCTGAATTTCTGAGTAACTGATTTTTTGCAATTTCTTTAGTAATCGATATTTACTAAGCAGTTTTTCTAATCTGCGCCAGTGACGGTCTTTCATGGATTTGTCAGCCATCAATTCAAGTAATGGACATGTTTGGTTGAAGTCGTCGATCTTGTCTTTTAACTCTATATAAGCAGGCCAATCTTTCATAGCTCTCGGCAATTTTCGGCACCTAGAAATCAGCAAATTCCAAGTTTCATATATTTTTAATAAACAACAGAAATTCTTATCGATTATCAGTATGTATGCATGCATTACCTTATATCAAAGTCTGCTAATTGTTGAACAATCTGTTCTATATCAATTTCATTCCATGGTGTTTCGAAATAGCCATCGATGGTATTCATTACTGCCAAATACAAAGAATACCTGAAAAAACACATTATAACGTAAATTCCAAATGTAGTTTTTGATATTCCATTAAATTCCTTCTTTGACAATTATCAAAAAAACAAGAGATGTCATAAATACACACACACATAATTATACTTACAACTTGCTCAACAAGTTGAATTCCTTCTTTTTAACATGCAGTATGGGGTAGTCTTTTACTTCCATACCGAACAACTTTTCACCACTTGAGTACATTTCAAATCTTCGCCATAATTCGTCAAATCGGGCTTGGAACATAATAACTCTGAAATTTGATTGTTTATTAACTAAAGTTGACATTCATTTGTTACTATTTTCAGAAACGTTATAGGAATTCTGATTTGGATTAGAAAAGTCTTTAGAAAATTATTTAGCAAATACCTGTCACTAGCTTCTCTTGCAGAAAGACCAGGCGTCATAGGACCGAAAGAATCGTAATCTGCGTCAAATTTCAACACGTCTGATAAGAAGCTATCCACACCCTCTGTTAGTTCCTTCTGAAGTGGACCTTGCATATCCACAATCCTTTGCTGCACTTGCTGGGACTTAACACAAATATTTACTTTATATTTCTTTAATCAAAATTCGTTTATTTTCACATTAGTATTAGGCCAACAATTTATCAAAGACTATGATTTAAGAATCTATATGATGCTATAGTAAAAATAAAATTTAGCATATAGGTACATACTGTAGTGAGCATAGTTTGGAATGCATATCTAAGTCCGTGCACTAGGTCAGCATCATCTTTGGGTATATCAATATTGAATTGATAAAATGTTGCATAGCTTTCTTCTATAAGATCCAATTCCATGTCCATACTAGAATCATAAGATATATCTAAGAATTAAAATCAATATATTATAAAATTGTTACCTTAGTCATAATGCCGTATTGATAATTACATACACCTACGAACATCATATTATTCCAATAAATATTAAATAAAATATTTAAAACAGAGGTACCCTATAAACTCCTCTCGAATCATTTCGAGGCACATCATGGCGACTCTTACATCGTCCAAATCTTTTATCTTCTTGCTCATGGTTTTCATGCGATCTTTAATAAACTGCATCATTTTCGTTACTCGTTCTTTGTATGCATGACTTAAAAGCTTTCCCAGAATTCGTTTCCACTCTATCGACTCCAAATGAAGTGCTAGCTTTATTTTATCTGTAATTTGCAACTAGTTTCCAGTATCTTAAATTTCCTATTATTGATAATTCTGTTACTGTCATACATATAAATGAATTTATTACTTACCTTGAATTTAGTTTGTGTAATAATCAAAAATGAATGAAATTAGAATGGATTTGAGTGAAATTTGGAAAACAAACTTTATACCTAGGAAATATTTCATCTCTTTTGAATTTATCAAGAAAGTACTAAGTAGGACGTCCAGACCCACTGGTAGATTTTATGTTTTTTTTACCAGGCAAAGATTACCTAGGAACTTATTAAATTTTAAAGCCCTTGCGGATGGAGTCTCGGTCAAAGTAAAATGTATAATATAAAAAAGCTATATTACCCATGTTGATTTCGATTGATCCAATAATATGCCTCTCAGGTAAATTAAGGACTTCTTCTGTTTGATTTTCGTATTTCTTAAGCATGTCCCTAATTATAACATTCAGTGGATTCGAATCAACAAAATCTTGTACTTGTTGAACTCGATCCTCTGCCCATAAATGAGCAAATCTTCCATAAGTCTACAAGTTTTTAAAAGTACAAACATTTATTAACTTATAATACACATATAATAAAAATAGTCACAGTTTTGCTTATCGAACCGCGAAAATAAACTTTGACTTTAATTGTACTAAATGCAATAAATTAGGATAAACACCTTCAAGAGCTTTTCTATATCAGGTTTGTACATGTACATCATCCCTTGGAGCGCCATTACCGATCTCACGATATCTTTATGTTCAGACACCATTCTAAAATAGTTTCTTATACCTCCCATAGTAGATCCCGTTCTCGATCCTGTGTGTAAATTAAGTTTATAATACATGTTTAATACAAAGCACTGATAAATATACCTAATTTAAAAAATATATCCTCTCCAATATCCTCATAAATGGAAACTAAATGTTTATGCAGATATCTGTCTGTTACGCTTTTATGTTTAAACCGCTAAACAAATTTTGATGATTTTCGGTGTTGAGATAAATAAGACATCGGAGAAGGACATAGTATGTTTTTTTTGACGCAGAAATAAAACTTGACATTGGTGAAGTGAAATAGAATATAGAATATAAAAGATATAATCTAATATTCTACGCAGATGAAGTCAGTTTATATTTAAGAATAGATATAGTATTCAGTTCCTAAGTTTGTATACTTGCCACTGATACTCCGTGTGGCCAACAAGGATGCTCCTGTTGACTTTTGTTTCTTTAACAGTTCTTGTTGTCCCCACATGAACACATTGCGATGTATATCCATAACACAGTTCAGAACTACCTAGAGTTTAAAGCAACATTTTCTTTTACTCATATTTACTTATTGCTATAATAATACACATTCATAATTATTGATATTCTTATACAAAACCTGAGAGAAAGAGGACTGAATCTCTTCCAGTGTTGGTTTTATCAGAATACGCGGTATCGCCAAATACATCATAGTCAACATAAGCGGATTCAATTTTTTTTGTTCTTCTGGATCTGTCGTCATCGTCAAAAAACTGTTAAAAACAATTGTAACTTTTTTATACAACACCTTTGATCTTAAAAGACGACGTAATTTTACAGGTAAATATAAAAATTACGGACGGTTAATGCCGGCTCTTTGATGGTAGATACTTTAAATAAGTGAAACAATGTTTATATTATAACTCAAAAATGGGCATTTGTTATATAAAATTTTTCAAGTAATTCTTCTAAATTATTTGTGGAAGTTAAGCGCCATTTACACGAAGCAAATTTCTTGCCTGTTACATACAATTAAATTGAAGCAATAAATGACTTAATGATGTTGTATACAAGTTCTGCTTCAAAACTTTTCTTAATGTAAACAGCACATACAATAATTTCTTTAGCAATTTTTGCATTCAACTCTTGCATTCAATTCACGTATCATTTGAAAACATGTGTGCAGTAAGTGATTGTGTGTTAATCGACGCTGCTCTTCGGAGTCAAGAAATATTGAGAAAACGTCGTAAACAAGAATGCATTTAATTATACCAAGAAAGTTTGAAGTTGTAAACATTATCAGCACCGGGCACCGATGTGCCGATATAGTATCTTTTTCGTATTCCCATGATCTGCGTCCTTAATTTTTTGTTGGAACAGAGTTATTTTTCGGTCCACACTGGGCTCATTCCGCACTGGGCTTATTTACTGGGGGTGAGTAAGAAACCTTTTTTTATGGAACAGGGAGATTGTGCCATGACTCGCCACGCGGGCCCAATGCCGATTAGTGGGTTATATAAATATTTTTTTATCACATCTATTCGAAGAGCTAGTTTGTTCTCTATTTACAGGGACCAAAATAGCTTTTTAAATCCTAGGGACCAAGATAGCGTTTAAATCCCAAAAAAGTAAGAAAAAATACAAAGCGTGAAATATATTTCGCCTTCGTTCATCTGTTTATTACGTACTCAAATTCGGAATTATAAAAAAATATAGTCTTCTTTGTCTAGTGAGAATGTCTTCTTTGTGCAATGAGAATGAAATTATGCTTAAAATGTGATAGTCTTTTATCTACAAAATCCTTCACTATTTTTTTTTTCAAAAAACGATCGCGCCTTTTTAATTATTATTTTCTCCCTTAGTAAATAATTTCCTGTTAACTTCGTTCCAACCGAGTGTTCCACGACACTCACGCATTTTTTTTGTTTATTATTTCTTAGTTCCAGATCCATCAACTCCAAATTCCTGACCAATTTGCTGTAGCATTACGTGCATCACGATTCTTGTAATTCACCCTTTCAGAGTCCAATAAACATTCTTGGTTACGATATATTTCAGTGAAATTAATTAAATCAGCAGAACCGAATTTAAATACTTTTCGTTTATAAACAAACCCAGATCTAAAACGTTCAAGCCTTGAATGAAATATTCGCCTGCGCAAATCAAACAATTCTAGAAACAACAGTCAAATAAATGGTATACGCACAAACAAGTCTGTGGATAGCATGCCAATTTTTGAAAGCAATTTTCTCTTTACAATAATTGTACTGGTTGTGAACGAAAGATTTTTGAAATATATTTTGTCAAAATTTATGCAACCATTTTACTATGTCCACGTAGAAACAGATGTTTACAATTCTGAAAGTCAATTATTGCGTGTCATTAATTTTATGCAATTATTGCTCTTGTACTCTTGCACAAGAAAATTGCACCGTGTAAATGGCGCTTTATACATTCTGAAAGAAGGTAATAAATTTTCTATCTTTATTTCTTTTATAACCTTGAAACGGACGCTCTTCTTCTCAAAATATCCAAACTCTGTCTAGTACACTTAATCAGAGCCTCTAAGCATTTCGTTGCAAAATATGCAAATAGTTCATTGCATTCGTTTAAAGTAGGCACAATATCAAACCGATCTGGATTTTCAATTTCCATAAAAGCTAAACATAAAAATAAACTTAGAAAAATCAGGTATCACAAAAATTATGAGGTATGAATATTTAACAGTGAAAGTAATAAAACACAGAACATGTATAAATACTTTAATACCTGCATCTTCGGGAAAAACTCTAGTGGCCGACGTTACTTGTTTCAATGCTTTTTCAATATCCAGCCTATAAATTGCATGACAAATTGGAATTTATTCGATCGGATTTTGATTAATTATTTTACAAAATTACACTGACATAGTTGTTTTAAATTTTTTTTAATTAAAAGATGCAATTTGGTTAGGAAACATAAAAAGTTACAGATTGATTTCATAGTTCAATACCTATCTATCCAAGCCTTCTTAATAAAATGCTACTTATGCTGAACTAAAAACAATGCCCTCTAACCAATTATCTTTGAGGTCCTTTATTTGTTTAGATGGCACGCTGTCCAAAAATTTATTGATCAATTCTATAACTGCAACTTCAGCATTCCAAGATTTTTGCTGCAGCTCATTTGCTAAAATATTCAAAAATTCATTTAAACACTACAATATTACGTTATTTTCAGATTTAGAAAATTAAGCTTGATTACCAATTTCATCTCTCCTGACTAAATTGTCTTCATAGAACACGGTGGGATCTACTGCTTGTTCAGGTAGATACACTAAAAGAGTCTTTGTTATCGACTGTAAAATAGTATCTATTCTAGCTTCTTTCATATCAACTACCTGGAACAGTTTTGTTTTACGGCATTTGTATATGGGTACTAGTTAATGTATTTTATTTTTTTATTTATTTATTTATTTTGTACACACACAATAAAATATTACATAAAAGAGAAACAAGAGACATTTCGAGTAAGAACTTAAAATTTTGTAATTAACAGTTAACCGACCTCTTTTACGAAAAGATCCACTTCATCTAACACTTTCGCAATGTTCTCACAATAAGCTGGTATTTCTAATGACGTCCATGTAATAGTAGATAACCCTGGCTGGAAAGCCTTCTCCAACTTTATTAGTTGCGCTCGTAGTAAAGGCAAATACAATTTAGGCATACTCCTGTTTTTACAACATTTATGAATGCTTTTAATATTAGAGGAAAACCTTACATAATCAAATCAGAGAATTGCATCATAATGAATAACCTTCTTATGGCATTGTTCCTTTCAACTAGATATTTCATTCTTTCAAAATCCCCTAATATTTTATCTTTACAAAAGGCTACTATTTGAGCACCATCCGGAACACCTGGCGATACCGAAAAAACACGTCATAATATCTTTATTATCAACTTAAAACCAATAATTCCATTATATTATCTTCCATATCTTCAATGCTTGAAACTGGGATTAAAAACAAACTTAATGTACCAGCTATTATTTTTCCTTTTTTACACTAGACTTTCATGACATCCTGAGGTATTTTTTCGCCTCTATCCCATGTTCTTTGAACATAACTAATATATTTAGCTCTTATAAGCATTTGGAACCTTTAGTACTAAATTAACATAAATATAATAAATGGAATAGATAGGAAGGGCACCATACTTATATATTTATCTTGGTCTGGCTCAGTCATTGGATCCATTTTGATTTATATTTTAACCACATTTACCTAAATGTTTTGTTTTTAAAGTTCCGTAGTCCTGACAAGGTACCCTTATAGTTTCATCATGTCCGTCTGTCTGTCCGTTCCCGGTTTTGCTTGGAGACTATTAGCACTAGAGAGCTGTCATTTTGTGGAGAAGTGTATATCAATCAAGCCGATAAAATGGTAAAATAAAAATTTTAAAATATATTTTTTAGGGTAGCTCCCTTACCCTTACCGATGTAACTTGGGGATGATTTTCTTAATCGTCTACCCCATCGCGTTGGCTGTCGTTGAATAGGTACTTTTAGAACTACTTAGAGAAAACTACTTAGAGGTTTCAAAGCCTATCTTTTTATAGGCATTGAACTTTAAGGTGCTAATTTTTTTCTAGTAAGGTGTCCCCCTCCCCCCTCTAAAAGCTAAACTATTGGCTTAAATAACCTCGAAAAATCATAATAAATAGTGTTTTTATGAACTTTTAAGGAAAGTTATAACAGTTAAGATAAATTTGTTATTTTAAAAGTATTAGTTGTTCAACGTTGGTTAAAGAAAATGTCTTACCTATTGAAAATTCCTTTAAGAAAATATTAATAGTGAAATAGATGAATTTATTGTAGTGTAAAACCTTAAAAATAGTTTTTTTTTATTTCCGATACAGAAAATAAAGATTCCTGCCTGCTCAAATATATACAGGCAACTACGGAACCATACGCTGAGCGTATCACTATATGCACTTGGCCGGTTTTTTGTTAAAATATGAGCAGTAAGGAATTATCTTAGATTCTCAGTAACAGTCGCAGGGTTTTAGTTAACATGAAAAAAAGCACAAAAATGATCAGGCGAAAAAGTAGATATTATCGTTAGAGTCCTTTTAGAATATTTCGGGTACTACAATTAGCTAACCAATGACAATGAGATATAAGATAAAGATGATTTTAATATTAATATAAGATAAAGATGATTTTAATATTAATTTATTGTTTATTTAATTCTAATTTACCCATTACCTATTTCACATTTAAAAAATATACTTACTCAATCCAAGCTGCCACATATACTCAACCTCTCTGATACATTCCGGAATAAACAGATTGAAATTCACAATATATAAATTAGTCGTGGGATGTCTTATCAGTAAAGGTGCTATAAGACCCAATCGAACCTAAAAAGGTATTTAAGACATCTTTAAAATTATCCACATTAGTTGTTGGACAATATTAAATTTCAATGGATTTTTTAAAATAAAAAGTTTACCTGACCGACATTTTCAGCCCAAGCGTCGTGGTATATCAATTCAAATTCAGTGAAAACTATGCTCATCACGTTAAACAATTTGATACACCTTTGAGTATTCTAAAAGAGAAAAAGAACATGACATTCTTGTAACATATTCGCTATATAATTTTTCGTTCCAATTGGATAGCGCCCGCCTTTAGAAATATCCACCATCTTAGGGAAGTATGTAGTAGCCATTTAACACTTTATGCCATGATGTGAGAACAAAGTAGCAATGTTCTGTTAAGTATCGCGTGAAGTTCAAAGAACATTTCTCTTGAATACTCAAGATCAAAAACAAAATTAAGTGTATTTGTTGAAATTTAAAGTACAGAAAATGTGAACATTCCGGAAGGTGAGTGGTGCTTTACCTGGCATATTTCACATAAATTCACAGTTAACTTCACGAAAAGAATCATTTTTAATGGGATTGGCTTGAATAATTTACTATAATCTGCATTAATAACTTAGTAGATTGTTAACGCTGAAATAATTCTATTCTTAGAATCTTTTACGGTCTGCATTCAGCCAAGAACTCAAATATTGAAAGTGTAACATTTTTCCTCTCGCTTTACTGCAATTTGTGGGAGTGATTTCGTGAAATAGGACGGAAGTGTGTAACAGGAAGTCGCGAAACCGCGCGCTATTTGATTTGATTTTAGAACATAACGTTCAAATGGCTTATTCCTTTTGTAGTAGGTTTTATTTCTTTTTTTACTAATATAAGGCGAGGTTTCAAATGTTACACACCATACGCGACTATTGTAAGGCTCGCTCGTTTTTTTTTACATGGGTAATTAATGCGTGTTGAAGTTGCCGGAACCAATCACAATATGCGGCTCACTAGCCTTATTATGTACGGTTTATAAGAAAATATGTACCATGTGTGTTATAATAAGTTCCTGTTTCTTGAACTCTTCCATAGGTCCTTTGATATTCTTGTCATAAAATCGTATCCACATAACTCGGCCGGCTACAGGCGGCATATTTCTGGGCAACTCTGGGTTCTCTCGTTCTTCGTTATACCTTATAGGATCACAATGTTATTAGTAGTTAGGAACTTACATTTCGTAATAACTTTGTGATATACAAATAAATATTCTTAACATATATCGGCTACGTTCGTTTCTACTCCGAATCAAAATTAAAAAAGAAAATTTAGTACAATTTTCAAATAATATTTCATATTCCGCACTCTTTATAACCCGTTTAAGAGTGAATACACACAAATATCACCATCTGTTTTGCCATTAATAAAGTATTTTCACTACCTATCTCTAATGGACTCTATTTCCGAAGTGTAAGTACTAATCAGGTCGTAGTATTGATCTTCGAGATATAGACAATCCAGTTTCAGTTTCTCAAATCTTGCTAGTAAATGCAACGCTATCTCTGTAGTTGGACATTTGTTGACACTCTATAAAATATTCAGACGTTTTATTAATACATTATTAATTCAAGTAGTAGTAGTGATAATTTAACAAAATTTTATAAACATTACGCTTATCATGAAGTTTTCCAATAATAATTCTTGGTTAGCAATAGCATCTTTGTATATTTTGTAATCTTTGTCAAAGTCGGGTCGTCTGTAAATTAATAATGAAATTTATTAGAGTAAAAATGTAATAGACAAAATCACAACTATGACAATTAAACTTGCCTGTGATCTAGGGCATCATATGTTTTAGTTGATATTTGCTTAAACAATTTGTTAACGTTAGCGGCGTATTCTTCGATTCCTTCCAGAGTCGATTTATTTAAGACGTAGTAAGTAATGTACGTTTGAAACAAATCAATTATCTGAAATTATGTTCGTATTTTACAAATCGAAATATTTTCCTAGTTGAATTTCTTGGGCTTTATTTAATTAGTGTGAACGGAAAAATAGGTATAATGTAACATCGTTACAATATAATAATAGCAAACCAAAAACTCACCTTCAACAACCTTTTCCGAAAAGTTTCGAATTTCCCAAAAATGTACATTTCTGAGCAATCAAAAGGTCTTTCATCTGCCGCTTCCATCATTTCTTTTTGAGTTTCACTATAACACTCCCGATAAAAGCTATACAAGCCCAAACAAAGCTGGAAATGTTAAAAAATATTTCAAGCAAATTAGATTATTAGTTTTGAAAACGTTTAGAACAGCGCAAAAACAGACGACTATCATGTAGCAATGTTTTAATCATTTAAAAAGTGTATTGTGGATTACTTGCCTTTGCTTTCTTTATGAAGTTCAATTTATCCTGATTCCAAATAGTTTTCTTGCCATTATTAGTCATGTAATCCATACACATGTTCAGAATTTGGTTTGTCACTTTAACCAGCAGGGTGGAAATTTGCTTCGTCGTGTTGTAGTACCGAGACGTAGCAAATATCATGCGAACAGTATATAAGAGACCAGGAATATATTGCTGCATTGTCAGCGGATCGCATCTAAAATTTTGAAAGGATATGAAATTTTAATTATTTTTTTGAAAAAAAAAATATTTTTCTCTCAAAGTTTTACCGAGCTAGTGATAGAAATTGCATATAAACCCACCTGTACAATGGTTCACAATATTTTTCTAGTGCATACAAATACTTGACGTTATCATATGCTTCATTATAATAATCAGTCACTTGATTATCAAGTAATCTCCATTTCTGAAATCATACCATTTCTTTAAAAAAAACTTTGGGTGTGCTCTTAACAAGAACACACTGGGGAATTATGGTTTATAGGTAAAAGATAACTAGACAATAATTTTAAGAGACATATTCTGGACGGACAGATTACACATAAATAAAGAAAGACGTAACAAATGTACCCAGAGAAAAATCAGAAAACGAAAAAATGAGCGGAGAACTTTAAAATAATAAACATATTTTACAATGCATTAGTATTTGTAACTGCATTATATATAACAATATTTGAAGGGGTTTCGGTGAAACATACTTAAGGAAAACATTAAATTTGTTATTAAATCCTCAACTATTTATTATATTAAACAAATACCTTAATAAGTTTTGATTTTGCCCTTAACAATGTATGGATGTACATCTGACAGGCATCGCTCTTAATGTGCTCGATAATGGACGTAAAACTGGTAAGCTGGCGTCGCCAGTGATCCAACTCCGCAAGAGGCCCTATGTTAGAAGGCTCCCGTCTCAATTGCTGACTTTGGACTAATACCTAAGGACAAAGATGTTAAGGAATTTGTTACTAAAACTGTTTCTACTAAGCATTTTTAACTTATGAAAATCTTATTTGGTTTTATGGTGCTTTTGAAGTCATACTTAAAAGTTTTACCATTGTTATTTGCTTGACCCATTGCTTAACATAACTACAAATCTCTTCCAAAACGTGTGTCTTTGTTATAGCAGCTTTCATCTTCTCTTGATCTGACAACTCCTCTTCGTACAAAATTAAGTTAATTTTAAATTTGGTACAACAATCTAGATCTATCTTCGTTTCTGAAATTGAAATACTTTTTACAAGAATGCGCATTGTTTATTATTGTAAGTGGAGTCCAGACGCAAAGATAGAGGCGCATAGTGCAGATGAAAGATTTAAACTTGATAATCTTAGTATCAAATGTATTCGTCAGTGGGAATAATCTAAATTTATTAACAATGGCTTGTTTTAATCTACCTTATGATGATGTTAAAAATTAATAAAGTTCTTAAAACTTAAGTCTTACTTAGGTACATAAGCATACATTGTACAGAAAAAAAGTTTCAGGAATATGTTTTGTATATTAAAATACCCAGATCTAGACTTCAAAAGATGTATCATTAAAAGTACATATACGTACGTACTACGTGTGTTTATATAGTATGTATATATTTGTATAGGTATATGTTATTTATTTGATTATAATCTTTATATGTTCAAGAAAATATGCATATTTCTTTGTTTTATCTCGCTGGCACACAACAAATTCCTCTTCGTTTAGCTATACTTTACCGCAAAGGTTGGTCTGGAAGAGATCGCTTAAAGCGATAAAGACGCCTTTTCCCACATTGTTATTGTTTTCATTTTTGTATTCTGTTGTGTGTGTGTGTAATAAAAAAAAATGGGTGCGTGTACATATGTAGGCGCGTGAGAAGTTATCCTTCTTTGGCATCGTTTAAAATTAGTTTTTAACTTTTTATTAAACTTTTTATTAATTACAATAAATTAATAAAAAGTCTGGAAAAGGACACAGTCAATAAAGTTCAGTTTTAATTTGAAAAAATAAATAAATAATCAAAATATTCAATTAAAATCGCTACTGAATACAATTTATTAGAACATATGTGATTTGCACTTGTATGAAACTCAAACACGTAGTCCGAATATACAAACTAGAAACATGTGGATAAATATTATAAATATGAATACCTATAACTGTTACTTTATTACAAAAAATAAAGATGTGGTTTTTGGTTCTACTACACCCATGGTCAAGAGATGGCGCTGTAGTCTCCTGAATCGCGCTTTGGTTCCGTTATTCCAGATTAATAAATACTTTTGATAGGCCTTCACAATGCAGTCGTTAGAGATTCTATTTCTATTTTGGTGGTAGATTTTCTTAATGTGCGGTAAACACAAAAGTAACGCATGAAGTTGGTCGCTAAAGCCAACTTCATGCTGTTAAAATTTTATGTTACAGTGATGCGCGCGCATCTTAAAATTTCACTCTCATCATTTTTTCATAACGCGCCTAAAGAAGTATAACTTCAAAAATATCTGTTTATCTAAAACTACTTGTAACAATTCCTTACTTGCAAGATAGTCGATAAATAACATAATCTTAGATATGTAGGTCTTAATGATATCTTCACTTCTCGGGTTGGGTGGGTTGATATCTCCCCAAGCCTTGCATGCCTTGAGAGCTGGCACGTACACTTCTCTCATTGTTTTAAATATACCAGATACCACATTCTCAGTCTCTGGATTCATATCGAAAAACACTAGATAGTAATCCTGCGTAAAGGTAATAATGTGATTAGTTAGTGGTCTGATTAGTTTTATCCTATTAAAATGTTTCCATCAACGCGATATTAATAATCTTCTGGACTACTCATATTATGAATCCTTTAAAATTCCATTTATACACCAGTGGTGTAGGTAATTAGATTGAATTTTCATAAATCGCCAATTTGAAAGCACAAATCACAAACGAATAATAGGCATATGTGTAATTTGCTCACTTCAGCGACATTCTTCATGTCTATTACTTTATTCTTTATTCTGTACATTGCTATACATTGACCCTGGGTGGCTATAGAAGATGCGTCCGATATATACGTCCGTTCCATCCAAGTCTTCTGATTTGGGATAAATCGTCCAGTTTCTAAAATAATACTTTAAATCTTAAAACGGACCTAAGAATGTAAGTACTTACCAAATGCTAACTTAGCCGCGCAGATATAGTAGAAGACTATTAACAGATAGGGTAATTTCGAAATTATTGTGGGTAAATTATCACAAAAGTGTTCCAGCAATAATTTTATCAAAATCTTGCACGGGCCCTGGGTTTAAGCGGGACAAGCGATTTCCCTAAGCGCGTGACAAGGAACGCCCAATAGCTAAATGGGAGAATAAATTCAGTGAAAAATCAAATTTACTTGAAGTAAATTTGATTATTCACTGCAACGGACACTGAAAGACAATCTTAGTCTACCTTGATCAATGGATTGGTTCTGCGATGTCTACTTACGAGTAGATCCAAAGAATGATTTAAGTTGTATTTCTCACCTTTTTTGCATCATTATAGCTTCAGGTTATATTAATAATTTTAGGATTGCATTTAACCATGTTATGCAACATGAAGTAATACCTAGTGTTAGCAGAAAAGAATCTGCGTAGCGAAGAGAGAGGGACGCTTGGAGAGGGTAAGAGTTGTAAAAATCGTTAGGCAGAGCCGCCTTGATACGTGGAAGCTCTGTCCGTTGGTACAGCGAATATATCGCTAGTAGCATTGCTATCGGGTGACGTTAATATTTTAATATGAGTTATGGTTATTTGTGTGATTAAAAGTTCACAGTCTTTGTGTGATATTTTGTGGTGAGAAATAATAATTGTGTATTGTTATAGTAATTATAAGTTATTTACGGGATTGTTACAATGTACCTTGTTTTTAGCGAGTTTCCGATATTTCGGCACTGTTGCAAGTGCCATGATCACGGAGTCAGGGGGTATTTGTACTGTTTGACTTCATTAAAAAAATAGTGAATGATTAACAAAGTTACTGCTTACCCATTTTTACTGGAGGCAGCAACGCGTCACAAAGTACAATACAATTCCTACCGCCTTCAACCACTGCGCTGTCTAACAATTCTATATGAACATCCGCATCAAACACACCTTCCTACAAGAGTAGGTAATGATAAAAGAATTATTGAATTGAAGAAAAAAATTTATATTTGCAGGTTATGTTTCTCACCAGAACATAGTCAACTGACTTATCCAGTATCGACGCTGCATTCTCAAGCAAAAATCTACTCTGAGTCTTTATGCCACCCATGCGATTATTACGTGCTTCCTTAGCTTTCGCCTATAAAACATTAGAAAGATATAGTAATAGCAACTAAATTAAAACCAACTTTCTAATTACCGAGGAGATTTATTTACTTGTTTCTGTTTATACGAATCTTGAGCCAGTGCCAGCGTGCTCATTGAAATTTTGCTTTTCTTCTGAATATCTTGCAAACGTGAGCCGAGATCGAGGATTGCTTCCAACGCGGTTCTGTCAACTACCACCACTTCTTGATCTCCTGATGCCCTGAAGAGTGTTGACTGTTTATTTGATATTCTTCTAACGATTTCATCGATTCTTTCTCCTGTTTCCGCCACATCCGACTCTCGATCACCTGAGGCTGCGGCTGCTGCAGCATCGACTGCAGCAGCTTCTCCAGCATCATTGTCAGCCGGTCCAGCATCCGGCGGCGGTGCTTCGCCACCTTCAGCTGACATTTTAACAACTATTCAAGGTAAATTAGAATATAATATCTGTTTTTAGCGACGACACGACACAGCTTTCAAGGTGGTCATCCACTGATTTGACGTTAAATGAAAACTGTCAATACTTAAATGACAAAATATTTTAATCGAAATTCAAATATTTGATTACACACACCAATGCGTGCAAAAAGGTTGAAGGCCCAGTGCGGGACTAACAGCTTGATGTGCCTTCCGAAGCACGGAGAAGCTCGAAATAATACGTTTTTGGTCACCCATCCAATGACCAGCCATTGCCAAAGATGCTTAAACTTCGCCGTTGAGCTCCTCCGAAAAGATCGGGTTGCATTATTTCCTACTAATATTATAAATGTGAAAGTTTGTATGTTTATATGTTTGTTACTCAATCGCGCTAAAACTGCTGAACGGATTTTGATGTTTGGCACGCATACAGCTTATGATCCAAAGATTTACCATGTTTTGACCGCACCGAAATCTGTCTACACTCGAATGACGAACTCCCATCTCATTATGTCTTGTCTAATCAGTGTTCATCTCACAAACTATAAAGTGATGCTAGGTTCATCTGAATATAGTGACAGTTTGACGCTGGTGAGTAAATACCGCAGGCATATTTTGCGAGAAAAGTGTCTCAAAATGCCGCGTGCCTTCCGAAAATGCACTTACAATACTAGAAATACAGAATTGACATCAGCATCCTTCAAAAACAAGCAGCCATACACACATCAATCATACTCAGTAAAGTTTTGGAAGATACTGTTTTCTTACACAACACACGAGACCAACACATACAAAACACGCAACAAACACAATCATCAAACACACCACATTTATCAATCACGCCCAACAAATCTCATACACCGGACACACCACAGCCATCAAACACACAACGGATAAGAGAAAGAGGACGAGGAAGGAGAAGAGTAGCAACTCGCACTCGATATATTACAGATGCACACTAGTTAGGTGCTCCTCATAATTAACGTAATATGTTACGGTTTATTAAATATGTTATACATCAAACTAAATTATATAATAATAGATATAATAGAAGACATATTGGGGATATAGATACCTCTTTTCTTGTGGGTTACAGGACGGGGTATTTATTAAAACCGACAAAATGTCGAGATGGTGAACTCAACCAATCAATTTTAAAATAATATAATATTCATAATTATATTCAGGGCTTCCTGTAAAAATTTCACGTGTAAAACATTTAACTATAATATGTCTCTCTATACAGTGGATCCCCGGTAGTCCGACAAACATTTTGCAGGCCAGTGTCGAATTATCGAATTTGTCGGATTAGAGTACTGCCTAAGACCCCCTATAGTCCGTTTTTTTTTACAAAAGAGTACCTTGTAATCCGACTAATTACAGATCCAATGATAAGATTACACATAATATTTTGTTATGTATGTCAAATTTAGTAAATTAAACAACACAATAGAAAGATTACGTTTTATTATAAAAGTAACGTCATTAATGCTATAGATTTTACAAAAAAATATAAAAAACAATAACCTACGCGTCGAGCACAATAGTGATGGTGCGTACAAGTTGTAACTTGTTCAATCGTGAATTAGCTAATACTTGTATGTAATAAACGATGTCGGATTATAGGGGGTGCCGCATTAGCCAGTAGGGGCCGGATTACCGCGGGGCTCCACTGTATTTGTTTCTTAGGTTTTCACGCACACCACTCATTAAATAAAATAAGTTTCAATGGTATAGATGCACTGATTTATTTGTTTATGACTCTCTCCCTTTCTGTCTTTTCTTTATTTCTAACTAGTTATAATTTTTATAATTTTAAAGCATGTAACTGCTTGATGTTTAAATCTAAAGAAAATATAACTAGAAAAAAATCCACGTGGACCAGGCAGCAGACGGGACTCGAACCCGCACCCTTCGCAATCCGGGCGAATGCACTGACTAATTATGCTACCGCGGCCCTCGCGGATCGCGTCGAAATTCTTCTAGCCATTCTTAAGCTGCAAGGCAGCGCCATCTCTTTGCATTATAGGTAGCCCACAATGTCAAATGAATACTTAAATATATATAAGAATATCTAACTAGCTGACCCGGCGAACTTCGTATCGCCCAACAGTCGATGAATGTGGTTTTAAAATTTTAAACAATTTAATTAATTATTTTACAGCCGCAATAAAACAAATACAAAAAAGTTAAAAAGTTTATAAGAATAATATACCTATATTAGCTGTCCCAGCGAACTTCGTACAGCCATAAAAAATAGCGATTGGTGGTAGAAGGGTAAAAATTTAGGGTTGTATGTATTTTTGTATCATAAATAAATAAAAACAAAAAAATTTGACCAAAAAAATTTAAGGGTGGACCCTTAATATTTAGGGGGATGAAAATAGATGTTGTTTGATTCTCAGATCTACTGAATATGCGTATAACACGAAAATCGGTTGAGCCGTTTCGGAGTAGTTCAATTACGCACACCGTGACCCGATCATTTTATATATATATATCTACTAGCTGACCCGGCGAACTTCGTACCGCCTTAGCGTAGCTTTGATGCACTATTTTATTTTGTATAGCTGACCTATCTTATGTATGAGTACCTATTCAATTTGAACTGGAATCTATAATATCCTCCATATAAAAATGAATCCTTATTTCCCAGGTCTCGCCATACCTGAGGACTTTACTAATTTTTATTAAATAAAAAACAACATATATATTTTCATAATAGTCCGAAGGCACTTTAAGCCGTTGGTCCCGGCTGCATCTGCAGTCGTTAGCACCCGCCAATCCGCATTGAGCCCGCGTGGCGGGTCATGGCCCAATCTCCCTATTCCATCCATAGGGAAGGCCTGTGCCCCAGCAGTGGGGACATTAATAGGCTGATGATGATGTTGACTTTCAATATATTGGACGAAACATAATAATATTTTATTTTACAGTATTATAATAATAAATCTCTGTCTAGGACGTCCAGGTGGCAGCTTTATTGCGAAGAAATTGTTTTTTTTTATAATAGATGTCGCTAGGTGCGCTTAAATGTGATTCATGCAAGTTGATTTTTCTGAGAGATAAACTTGTTAATGTAATATGAATTGTCATGTTTGTGTACGATATCACAAAAAAAAAATATTGTATTCTACCACATAAATTATAGTACTTTTATACTGATAATTAAAGCAATTCGTTCCAATGTATTCTCTAACCATTCCAAAATATCAAAAATGCACAATGTTAATATTCAAGTTTTCACTTCTGCCGGCACTCACGGAGTGCAATCCGTCGTTATTTTTTCTATTTTTGTGTAAAAATCTTAATGCAGTTCACAGAATACATCTACTCACCAAGTTTCAACAGTATAGTTCTTATAATTTCGGATGAAAGTGGCTGCGACATACGGACAGGCAGACAGACAGACAGATTTTCTTTATATTTTTTTCCGTAAGAACCTTGTACAGAGTATTAGAAAACTACAAAAAAAAAAACAGCCAAATCGGTCAAGCCGTTTTCATGTTATGTCGTGACAACGGAAAACGGGTTCCATTTTTATATATATAGATATAGAGGAAATGAAATTTCAATAACTTATACAATAGTGTATCAGCGACATTTAAAACAAGGTTTGTTGTTTGCCAGGGTTCTTGGGAAATTAGGAATACATAGTTGTATATTTTTGACTAAACACCTTATTTTAATTTTAAAAACCCATGTACCAAAATGAAGCAGTAAAGATAATGATTATATATTTTGCGTATAATGTATTTTATAAAATTTATTTATTTTATATAAAAAAATCTATTTCTGATAAAATACAATTCCATTTAGTATCTAAATATCGTCACATATCACCCCGTACCGTATTTTTATAAAATAGAATATCTCTCATAAGTTCTACTGTTTTGTATTAAAAGGCTTGACATGCATATGCATAAAGTTGATGGCAGGTAGGTAACAATGATAACGGTTTTTATTAGATCTTTACGAGTAGGATGTTTGGAACTTCTACTTGATCGGCATCTGGCGTTCAAATTTATGTGTTTAGTTATTTACTGGTGCCTCACCAAACCTAATTTATATAATGAAAATTGATTTTCTGCATTACTTTTTTTCGTGATTTTAATTGTTATTCTGCTATTCGGGGCGGAGAGGAATCCAAAAAATCAGATCTCATAGAAATCGGTCCAGCCGTTCCTGAGTTATAAGTGTTCTAACTAACGACTTCGTTTTATATATAGATTATCCTAGTAAACTTTTGAAGATTTTTGTATTTGTTTTATTTCGGTTGTAAAATCCTAAATTGAATTAAGTTAGATATTAAAGATTTTACACATTTATCGGTTGTTATAAAGGCGGTACGCAGTTCGCCGGGTCAGCTAGTCATAATATAATTGCAATGTACTAATTCACCACATAACTAAGCATTTGTATTTTTCGAAATTCAAAATGTATAATACATAAATCAAAACGATCGCCTTACATAGGATCGCTGAGCTTATGTAGACATTTATATTTTTCATTTCATTCAATCCTTTTGATCAGTTACTGTTTGCAATATTGGTTAAAATACCAAAAAAATATATTATCTAGATGAGACTCCCATTTTAGTTTATTTTTTCGATAACAAATTGACTTTTACTTCACTATTGTAAAATGTCAAAACGGCCATCATCATAACGTCATTACAAAATATAGCCGCAGTTTTTCGGTGTCAGGGCATATCTAACGATTCAAATCTTTGTTATGTTCTAGATTAAGACATAGGATACTTTTTATCCCCTAAAATGATGTAAGAAATATCCTATGTCTCAATCCAGGTCATAAACTGTTTTCATACCAAACATCCAAATCCTTTCAGTAGTTTAAGCGACATTGAGTAACAAACATACAAACTTTCTCATTTATAATATTAGTAGGAGTAGGATAATCCATTTTATTAGAATGAAATATTCCCGTATTCTAATGTCAAGCTGACAAGTTAGTAAGGTGTATGAATAGTGCAA